CTGCAGTACTAGAGATGCAATGGGGCAAAAATGTGGCTTTTATACTTTTTATGAACGCAGTCTTGAGTTTTTGCCAAAATACTTTCTTGTTTAACAAAGAGTCCTGAAGCCTTCTAATGAGACCCACATCTGTGTTGAGCCATTTCTGCAGCTGTTCCTTCACAGATAATCCACTGGTTGAACTTCATGGGTGACCTTTTGATGGGCAACTGAGGTGAAATTGTTCAACAAGCCTCTTGTTGTGGATGGTAGCACTTGTTATTCCATTCCCTTCCAACCTTTTCTGGAGGACAGCTGGTCCTAACCCCCCCAGCATCCCCCCAAAGTCACACCCCAGGGATAAGGCAGGAGGGCAGACAAACGTGGCCGAGAGGACAGAGAATGGAGATGGGCGTGGAGAGAAGACCGTGGCTGGTCTTCTCTGAGGGTCCTCTTGACCTTTGAAACGTGGGCCATGGAAAAGAAGTTGGCTTTCTGACATTTAGCTAAATTTACAATGTTGTGTCGCCACTTTATAACATGGATTTATAATCTAGAACAAAGATAGTAAAAATTTTTAAATAGTCGAACTAAGGAAATAGCATCTTAGTGAAGTTATACTTAAATAGCCTTTTACTTCAAAGGCACAACAGTGATACATCAAATATAAACTATAAGAAGTATTAAATAATAAAATATAAAGATATAAAAAGAGAAAACCAAACAGAAACACACTCAAATGCAGGTAACTATCCCCACAGCAGGGTGGACAGGAGCTCCGTGAAGGGACTGCCAGGCTCTGGGCCAGAAGCCATTAGCGGCGGCCGCATGCTGAACTCCAGTGAAGCTTGAGGACTCCAAGTGCCCACGTGATGAGGGAAAAGACCGTGCTTGTCACTGAGTTTTAGAGCCTTCACTGTTGGTGAGTTTCAGGCCTGGGAAGGCAGCAAAACAAGGACTCGGCATTTCACCCCGCTGCTCAGCCACGGTGCCCGCCGGCTCCAAGACGACTTCTAACGTACCGTCAACGTCCCTGAGAGAAGCAACGCTGAACAGCCTTGACCTGTCCTGCCCCGAAAGGAGGTCTCACAGTGTGCGCAGGGAAACAAACTGCAAAAACGCTACAAAAACTGGGTGCACATGGAAAGAAGGGGGGAAGAGGTAGGAAAGAGGAAAAAAAAAAAGAAACCGAAAGGAAATCACACTCAAATCAAGCCTGTTAATTCTAATTCCAAAATATGTAAGAAATCTATTGCAAAGAAAAGCAACAGAATTATTGCAAGAGAAATCTATTCTGGATAAAATAGAGTTGATAGGGCAGTGCTATGAACTGAAGGTTGGTGTCCCCTCCAAACTCCTACACTGAACCCCTAACCCCAGTGTGAGAGTATTTGGAGGTGGGACCTTTGGGAAGTGATGAGGGTTGGTTCAGGTCACGAGGGTGGGGCCTCATGACAGAATTAATGCCCTTATAAAAAGAGAAAGGGACACAAGAGGTCCCTTTCGCTATCAGCCATGTGAGGATACAGGGAGAAGGTAGCCATCCGTAAGCCTGGAAAAGGGTTCTCACCAGGAAGTGAATCTGCCAGCACCTTGATCTTGGATCTCCCAGCCTCCAGAACTGAACAAGAAATAGATGTGTGTTGTCCTGGCCCCTCGGTCTACAATAATCTGTTACAGCAGCCCTCAGCTGACCGACACAGGCAGTCTGACAAACCCTTTCCAAATAAATGTCTTGCTGCCTTCGGGTATTTTCACCTAGAACTCTCACCGGCACATTCACTGAACATATGTAATCACAAATTCTGCTTCAGACCTGGGTCTTGTCCCGTGGTCCATGTCTCAGTGAAGGCAACACCGTGTAGCCAGTTGCCTGAAGGAACACAGCGGTGTTACCCTTCAGCCTCCCCCGTGCTCAAACGCCAGCAGGTAAACCGAACCACCGGGAAGTCCAGTCCAGTCTGCATCCTAAATACCTCCACATCGGTACACTGTGGCCACCTGTGCCACCTGAGTTCTCCTCCGAGCCACTGTTAGGACTTTCTGAGAGCACAGCAAAGGCCTTCTGTGTTCCTCGCCTCCGCTAGTCACCTCTGGGGAAAAGGAGAGGGAGGGAAACCAGGGTGCTCTTCAAGTGTTCTGTGCGTTTTTTCTTTAGAGATGAACTCCGAAACAAACACAGCAAATCTGATAAAGCTGAGCAGTCGATGCACGGGAGTTTGCTACCACATTCTCCCTTTTGCTGGGGCGTTTGAAATGTTTTCCAGTGAAAAAGTATAAAACTAAAATAATATGGTACTAAAAATAAAAGAAAATAATCACCATTACCTGTTTGCCATCCTTTGACTATGGAAATCAATCTGATATAAGTTTCTTACCATTATCATAATTTTCCTCCTTTTTGAGACTAGAAATGCCATCTGCAAATTAACATGAATGAGATCATTTTTTTTTTACAGGGATGGTCAAAAGATGCTCATCAGGAGGTGCTGATCGAAAAGGAACTGGTTAAGGGGAATCTTGCTTTGTCCTGCCAGTGAAATATAATGCATCCATAAAAATGAGAGCTATGGAGATTAAATCACACATGGAAAGGCACCCATGTTACAGTGTTAAGTGAAAGCATGTGTGTCTAGGTACATAAGTACTTCCACATGCGCACTCCATATATACATCTGTGATTAGAAAAAAGAATATTGAAAGGCCATAAAGCAAAGTACCAAAGTGCATGTGTAAGGATGGTGACTTTAGTTTTAATTTTTCAGTAATGCACTTCGTTTTTTTTAATATAGAAAGTTTTCTCTTAAAGGAAACAAAATGCATCACCAAGTGCAGCATTTTGGGCAGCTTTCCATTTTTATATGGAGCGGTGGGCACCCCGTGAAGGTTTGCATTTCCCTCCCTGTGTGCGAGAGTCGAGAAAGGAGACAGGCTGTCTGTCTCCCAGGGCTCACTGTCACTCAGAGGCAGTGTGGATGGATAGGTCCTGCTAAGGTTTAGTAATCAGACCGATCGTGGCCCAAGCAGGTAGAGGGAATACTGAAGGACAGAACTGGCTGTATCCAAACACAACGCTTGATTCACATTTCATAAGGATGTCTCTTGTCCTAACTAACTGGGGATGCATCTTTGTGGTCACTGTACATATTGACCATTTATCTTGCATTCCCTGTGCTTTGAAATATGCATGTGTAATGCAAAGGGTTCATTCCAGGTTGAAGGAGAAGGGGGTGGGGGTGGGATGGGTGTTCTCCCTGCCCAGTCAGGACTGTCTGATGTCACTCCTTTGTGTCCCTGGACAATGATTTAAGCCTAAAGCTTAATCCTGGGCTTCACCAAAGAACAGAAACAAGGCAATGAGAAATCGAAGAAGTATTTCTAACAATAGTCCCGGTGACTTCATTTTACTTACAATTGCTCCTCAGGGAAATATCTTTCATCAACTTATTTTATGCTTAAATTGCTTTGCTTCTGCATTGAGCCTGGTCCTCCTGGGCAGTGGGGGCTAGCAGGGGGGTAGGGGGTGAGGGTGGGGAAGGACCTGCAGTGGGAACAGGAATGACTCTAACACCTCTCATGATTGCTGCCACAGATGGTACCTTTGACCCAGACAGATCTTTAGAGTTTTAGGATTTTCAAAACATCACATATTTTGAAATGAACATATGGTATGATTCCTGTGATTTCTGAAATTTAATCCTTGGTTTTCTGTATTGCAGGAAGGAAAGGAAGAAGTTGGTAATACAAAAATTGTTTATATGGTTGATGGTGCATGACTCATTGTCTGTCTCTAACCCTCTTTCCACAACTACCTCCTGGGGTGGGGAGTGGGAGGGGGTGTCAGGGGAGGGGACAAGTCAACCAGTGGTGAGACAGAGAATGTGAGACGGAGCCTGTGGAGGAGCGGACCGGGTTCTGCCGGCCCACTGGCTCCTTCACTTTTATTCTCTGCTACATCACAGACTCAGGCACTTCGCCCTGCAGCTGCCCTGGTTTTACAGGCAGTGGTTACAGGCTAGAGGCAGGAAGTTTCAGGACAGACTTAGACAAGATCCAAAAGGAGAAAGGCCGAGGCTTTCTCATAGGCAATGCTATGAAAGCCCTCCAAGTGAGTGACAGGCCCTGAGCCCCGCCCACATAGGCCTCTGGAAAGAGCACATGGCCCCACAGCAGGACGGTTTGTGCTCTACCAATGTCCCCATTGCCTCACCTCTCTGGGTCAGCCCCCAGCCTCTCTCTGCAGCTAGATCGTGGTGCCTTAGGACTAAGGCCCAACAATGAAAGGTGAGCAGAAGTGACTGGTTCCCCTTTGAGGCCAAGGCCATTAATCAGAGACAGTCTCTGCCTCTTCCACTCCCTGCCCCCCACCCCTGTGAGGCAAGCTGGGAACCACATGCTCCAGATATGTGAGCTTTGAGATTAAGTAGGGCCACCCAGCCTGCATCAGACTTGGAATGGGTTAAAAATAAACCTTCACTGTGTTGAATTCCTGAGATTTCAATTTTCTTTGTTTCTGTAGCAAAACCTATCCCATCCTAATACTTGCCAGCAAGGAATCTCTCCTGACGCTTGACTTTGTACAAGAAACTACTCTCCTAGTGCATCTGACAGAAAAAAAACACTGGGCCAGAATTTAGGTGGGGTTTTGGTTTTGTTTTTTGTTGTTTTTTTTGTATTTGGCCATAATTTATACTATATCTTCGGGCAGGTTACTTGACTTTTGTGGTCCTCGGGCCTTCAGCCAGAGCAGTGGTTGTGTTAAGTCTTTCTGTTTTGCTTTTTTTAAAAGCCGAGTAACCCTTCCGTTAAACAAAACCTTTCACGAAGGCCAGGCTAGAAAGCTGGTGAAAGAACTGCCCCTCTGTGCAGTCCATGACCTGCACACTGACTCCCCACGGGGACCCGGGCCCTCTCTGACCAAGGCACAGACCCACGGGCTCAGAGGCAAACCGCTGCCTCAGACGGCTCCACAGTCCAGCCTGGAGCTGACGCGGGTTCACGGTGAAGCAGCTGGTCCTCACCTGTCCCACAGGTAACACTGCACTCCGTCCAGGGGCCATACTGCCAGGAGTACATCAGCTTCTCCACGTCGTTGTCAATGCCATCTTTCCGGATCGTGTACTCGTACTTGATGCCAGGGTTAGTCACCTGGAACAGAAGCTACAAAGCAAGAGAGGGGTCGTGCCAAACTGCCATGACTTTACACTGAAGACCACAGTCACTTAAAAAATACTACACCATGTCCATTGTCTTAAAGTAGTTACAGACACATGCACTGGAACAAAGGCCAGTAAGTGAATATTCCTCGACCTCTGCTTCCTCCTGTACATCTGCATCCACCTGTACCTATGTTTGATCTTTTTCATTCTATTTCTTGGCTGAATTCCCATGGGAATTTCAGTTCGGGGAAACTGGAAGGTCTAACCTGCTCTGAGGGAATGACAAGCAGGCTCTTTTCCGGCAATAGGCTGGGTCAGTCGCCTGTGCCTTGTGCACTTACCAACCTTGTGATTATGGGTAAGTTACTTCATCTCCTCGTGCCTTAGCTTCCCCATGTGCAAATGGAGGGTAATAGTAGTACTACTCATAGGGTGCTTGTGAGAGTTAAACAAATGAATAAATGTAACGTGATTAGATATGATTAGACCAGTAGCTGCTGTGTCGTTAGCACTCAGTAAACATTAACTTTTATTGCTCTTGTTGCCCATGATGCCTTTCTCTAGCTCTCAGACTGCTTAGTTATTTTAAAGCATGTAGTTATGGCATAAAAATAATCAGGGGGTTTAGCCAAGGCATACCACACTTGGGACCTTCCCCTCACTTCCCTCTCCTGCAGGTAATCTACATACGACACATTTGAAATGAATTCATCTTAAACTTGGAGGTGCTGCCTTGGTTGTCCCATGGGATTAGGGGTTCCTCTATGCAAATATTTTCCCATGTGGACAGATAAGATTTCCTGACATTTATGAAACATAGATGTCAAGCCTTGACCTCTAGCCTCCGAGAGTGCTCCGATCTCCAGCTCTGAAATGACTTCCCTCTAATTTCTAATATTGTTAGAGCTGACTCTCTCAGGCCATCTGTCATCCCCAACCCACCTTGTCTCCACTGGCTGTAAGTACTGTACCCTACAAATCACTCATGACTTTGAAGAACAACACATCCTACATCCTAACCCCTCTTTCCCCCAAGAGTTTCACAAAGGGAAACCTTTTGCCTGTGGACAAGCACATGAGAACATGCGAAAGAACCACATCAGTTCCCCATCACTGCTGCACAGCTACTTGGAAATTCATGCCAGACGGACACAGACTGATGGCATTTTTTCTATACCCAATGAACAGTCACCCTGAGAAAAAGAGCCTGTGTCAACCACACTGAACACTGAACTTGAACCTCCCAGTTGATGGTTTTAGGGCCCCTGGCATTTCATTACGGGGGTTTGGACAATTTCTAGGCAATGAAGGATTAACAGCACAAAATTAATTTGTTACTTCCTCCCTCGTTCCTTGCTAGAAGAAGTTTTAAGGATTCTTACTTCGTGTCTCCTAGCAAATACCTTGGAAAGGAATATGAGAAACTTCCCAACTGATGTACCTGCCAGCATTTCCTTTCCTCATTACCTGGATCCACACAGACTCATTGGTGGGACCTGTGGCCATCAGCTTCTCCAGGTCTCCTTTCCGGTCATATTGAAAGACAGTCCCTGCCAGCTTGTAATTTCCATTCCACTGGATAATAAAGCCTCCGTTGAGGTAATACTTTTCAGGGTCTTCACTCCTGATGGCCAGAAAGTTTCCAGCTCCCTTCACCTCCATCACCCGTATGTCCCTTGCTCCTTTTGGAATCAGTCCAATGTCAACGTAACCTAAGGAGAGAAGATGCAGTGAGTGAAAGGGGCACGCTAGCTTAACTGAACGCATCTGCTTGATCCTCACCATGTAGCGCCCTTGCCCTGCTCCTGGGTGGCCACTGGGATGGGTAGATGTACTAACTCTGAAGAAATTTGAAGAGTTTGGCCACAAGCAGAACTCTCAGGAGCCTTGTGACTCAGAGTGAAAACAGCTTTGTGAGGAGAGGTAACGAGTACAGACTGCACTCTGAAGCTTTTGTGGTTGGTTCAGCATTTACTTTTCTGTGATTTCATGTTGATAGTTCAGAATTTTATAGCCCCTAGTTAGCTTTCCAATAGCATCTCTGCTTTCTCATTTGTGGCTGCTATACCCCATTGTTCATCCTCATTGCCTGCAAATTAAAGATGGATTCTTGGGAGTAATTTAATCATAACTTAAATTCATGGTGAGAATCCTAGAGGGAATCTTGGGTTGATGGCCATGCTGGTGCTCTTCAGTACAGCTGGTGATGAGAAACTCATCTCTAAGCACAGCTTTTTATATTGCTAGACAATTCTATTCATTAGAAACAGTTTTTTCTTAGGTTTTGCTGAAATAGGAACGTACATTTTAGTCTGTGTTCTAATCCAGCCTTCTAAAAAGCAGAGGAAGTGGGTAAAGGTGATGGAAGGAGACTTGACTTGGGGTGGTAGACACAACATACAAAGGATATGTTTAAAATTGTATACTTGAAACCTATATAATTAAGTAGGGTCATCCCAATAAATTCAATTTTTAAAAAAGTACAGAGGACATCCATATAAAGATGACCATCAACTCTGGCCAGTCTTCTTGTTTACTGGTTATTGTGGCAGGAAAAACAGTGGGGAGGAAAGGATCTAATGCGTAAATGTTTCCTCTCTTTGCCAGATTCCACACTAAGAACTGTGCATTCATCCTATTTATGCTTCTTGGGGAGCGTCAGTTCACTAACACGATAGAATGGAAGGAGTGTGGACTCTGGGGATGGCACTGTGACAGGAGGACTGGGTCAGGAGGTCAGAACAGTTGAGCTCCAGTTTCTGTGCTGCCACAAACAAGCTCTAGGGCGTTCATCAGCTTATTTAACTTCTCTGTCATCTGTACAATGAAGGGGCTTGAATGAGATACTGTCTGATGTCCCTCCAGCTGTGGTATTCCGCTGTGTTGCCCTTGTCTAAGCTAAATGTTCTTTAGTCCTTTAACCTTTCCATTAAAGACATGGTTGTGAGACCCCGATCATCCTGGGCTTCCTTCTCCACTGAATATATACTAGGTTCTTCAGCCCGCCAAGCCAACCCTCATCTCTGTCCCTGAAAGTGCTCTGACTGCTCCCTCTCTCTCAGACACAGAGCAGCATGGGTCCTGGCAGCTAGACCAAGGACTGGCCAGCAGGACTGTCTTGCTCAGAAGCTGGGAGCAGGCCACAACCTCAGTCCCAGTTTTCAAACTGGCAGCTGTAATCTGGAGGAACCCAAATGTGAGTCTTGTATTAATTCCATTTGGTCCTCATACTCTTTTACTTGAGATGGGAGGTTCACACTACTAACTCATAATGAGCTCAGTGAGAATATTTATCATATGCAATTAAGGCTAATATAATTTTTTAAACACCTGTGAAGTGTTGCTACCTGTAGCTATTTTCTGACTTAGGATGTTGCATGGCTTCTCATGCAGAAAACCAACTGGCTACCACCTCATCCCTTGTTTAAAAAACAAAAACAAAAAAAAAATTTTTAAAGAGAGAGAAAACAATTGAATAAAAAAAAACAACAAAAGAGTTTGCTTTTTATCTTCCACTTAAGAGAAAAATCCAAAATTATAACTGTTTATCATAGGCAGAGTCTGCCAAATTGAAAGGGAGGTATTTCAAAATTTAAAATGAAAGCCTTAAAAATAAAATAAAAGCTTTCTGTGATGTAAGTGCTGCTTTTGGAGAGTTTGCAGATAGATGATGTAAACTGAAGCAGATTTAGCCATGAGCAAAAGTAATACATATTTGCAAAAGAATACCCAGGAGAAAGCCAAAGGATGAAAGTAAAGTCAGGTGGATTTTTAAAACAACCAGGATAAAAAAGAACCATGTGACAGAAAAGCCCACCATAGAGGAGGGGGAAAAGGAAATGCACAGGTTGCAATTTCCCTCTACCCCAGTCCTCTATATCAAAGATGATTACAGCTAATAGTTTACTGGGTTTTCTTACAAAATTTTCTACGCATACACAATTTTTTAAAGAAGTGGCATTGTGCTGTACAAACTACTACTGTCCTTTAAATTTAGTGTATTTTCATATTTTTAAGCATTTCAACAACTGCAAGAATGACATACTCCCATTTACTTAACCAATGTCCTGTTAATGGATATTTGGGTGGAAAGGAATGGCTACCAATCCCGTCATCTAAAAACTGAGGAAACTGAGTTCCCAAGAGTAAAAATTTACAAGCTAGGCTGAGAGTATCTATACCTATGACCAGGGTTTACTAACCCTAATCTAGTGTTTTAACAGGAGAATGTGATTGGTAGAGCAGAGATGAAAAACTAACCCTCCTGTAGGTCTCACCCTCGTGGGCCTTCTGTACAAAAATGAGAATCATATTAAAAAGTTGCAAAAGTGAAGGGTTATCAAGACACTTTTCCTATTTCGAGGAAAGGTGTTCAGGGTTAGTAAGACTAAGAATGATCAACATATGCATTCAGCAAAATCACTTTTCTTCTATCTTTCCCAATTTGAATTCTTTGCAAGTCACATTTCCCATTTTGAATTCTTTGCAAGTCACTCCACCTATAACTGGGTTGCTCAGTAAACAAAACAAACAAACAAAAGCAGCCATCACTCTTGCCCTCCAGTCTCAGTCCCCTGCCACTTCAACTATTTGTCTGTGCATTACCGGATCCTTCTTTCTGCTTAAACATCTTCCTCACGGTCTGGCAGGCAGAACCGTCCCCAAGGCACACGCCGCAGCGATCCTCCGTGGCATTGGAATCGATCTCGTAGTCACAGCCGACCCTCTGCAGGAAGAGAGGCTGAGGGTGAACGACACAGGCAGGAGATGTCACACCTGCCTTGGACCTTTGACTGGCACTCGCCTCTTCGCTCTTGGTGAGATTGGGTTGGGGGCAGATACGAGCTCAAATGTCTCCCTTTCCTGGTGTATCAGAGAGACAGCCAAAGCAGCCACTGAAGGTAAAGGCAATACCTACAGGTGGGCACTGGGTGGCTCTCCTGAGTCAGGGGCAGAACTGAACAGTTCCAAATGTCTAACGAGGACAAGGTCTCAGAATCGAAATGGTGGAATAGCAGGTCCCTTGGAGATGGGCCAACCTCTCGCCCCTCCTCTCTACGGGGTCGTCCCAGGGGTGGTGCAGTTACTCCACCTATAACTGGGTTGCTCAGTCCCTTTCCATTCCTCACTGGGTCACTCTCCCTGGCCCCTGTCTGAGAACAGCAGGTGACCCAGCTGTCAGGGCAAGTCGTCCTGCTGTGACCACTCCAGTTCACGAGGGTGACGCCTCTGACCTGCAGACCTATCATCAGACCCTGAAGACCCTCCTGTGACCACAGCCCCCACTGCCACTCACACGGACCCGTATTCCAGCCGTCCTAACCTTCTTCTCTCCAGCCACAGAGGACAAGCTGGCCATTCCTCTTCTGAGCCAAGGATAACCTTGCCCTGTGTGCTGGACCAAGTCTGTTCTTAGTGTTCTTTCTGTCCCTGGGCCCTCCTGAATCGTCACCTTTCCCTGATTCCTTCTCCTCGGTCCATGCACATGGCTCAGTGTTCCCCACCCTAAAGTTCCCATTCTGGAAAAGGTGGCCATCAGTGTTCAGTAGCATCAGATACAAAGCATCATGAACTTAGACTGAAAGTCATGAAACATGGGGGCCTCTGTTGAACTTCTCCGTGGCTTGCTTTCCCCCATGGCCCAGGCTCTCTACCACAAGTCAGGGGTAAAAGAAAGGGGAAAACGTATACCACATTCTGTGAGTCAGATTTTTCTTTTCTGTTTGGAAAAAATTATGCCCTATAGTTTTTTTTTCCCTCTCAAAGGTAATTATTTTTCTTATTTTAAAGCCATGTCCAATGGACTGGAAGGAAGAACGATCTAGGTTATTGAACACACCCTCCCTCTACCGGCTAAACCGAGACTGACTGCTGGCTGCCAGAAACAGCTCCGTGCCTCGAATGCCCTTTCGGTGCACAGGCTGCGCCCCCTGAACAAGCTGAGAAACAAGTGAAGTTCTAAGAGATTAAAAAACTTAATCCTGCCCTGGCTGGTGTAGCTCAGTGGATTGAGCGCGGCCTGTGAACCAGACAATCGCGGTTTGATTCCCAGTCAGGGCACATGCCGGGGTTGCAGGTCGGCTCCCTGCAGGCCAGTTCCCAGGAGGGGACGCACGAAAGGCAACCACACATTGATGTTTCTCTCCCTCTCTCCTTCCCTTCCCCTCTAAAGATAAATAAATAAAATCTTAAAAAAAAAAAAAACTTAATCCTGCTAATCACAGTGGAAAGAAAAATTTTCTGGGTGTGAAGCCTTCAGTGGTTAGGAGTAAAATGCCAGACCTTCCCAAGTGATAGGCTTTCATTAAGCGGACCATCCACTAAGGAGTTGACCTTTACAAATCACGTTCCCGGTGACCCCTTTCCCTCAGTGACTTGCAGTAAGCCAGGGAAGCTTCATCCGAGACACATTAACTTTAAAGTGTCTTCTTAGAATCTTGACCAAAAGGGGATCAATTTTAAAAAGTGTAACTAATAAAGGAAAGAAGGCCAGATACACGAATGCCGTGAGCCCGCCTGTCCTCTCTAGCAATGGGGCCTGGGTCAGGAGACACCCCGTGGTGTGCCACCCCCAGCACATGCAGTGGGTCCCCTCAGGGAGGCTGTGCCCCATTGCCTCTCCGGTCAGCTGCACCCCTTAAAATCAGCACTGAAGTAAGCACACACTGGGCCTGTGCAGGCTCAAGCCAGCCCTCTCTGTTGCACAGCAAACATAAGGGCTCTAGGGGAAAGTAAGTAGGTACCACTTGCATCTTCCACGCCCTGTGCTTTGCCAACATGCACTGCACTGCCTTTCCATCTCGGTAGGGTCAGAGCGGCCCCTGCTGCACCCAGAGCGGGCAATGGCACCAGCACGGCTCTTCTCTCAGGCGACTCGGGGGCCAGACAGCCACCCGGGTGGGCAGCATTTTGAAACGCTGAAGAAGCGTTTCAAAATCCCTTTAATTTCCCATCAGATCATCATTTCTTTCTTTTAAAAAGTTTAGCCACGTGTGGCTGGTATATAACATACTGTAAGTACGTGAAGTGTACAATTTTGGACCTACACAAATACCTGTGAAACCATCACCACAAGCCAGGTAATAGACACATCCGTCGCCTCCAGACGCTCCCTCGTTCCTTTGTGTGTGCGGGTTTGTGTGGTAAGAACACTTAACATGAGGTCTATCCTCTTCACAGGCTTTTTTTCATGTGCTCCAAGCAGCACTGTTAACTAGACACTACGTTGTACTGCGGGTCTCTGGGACTCACTCATCCCACATAACTCAAACTTGACACTGCTGGTCAGCAGCACCCCATTGTTCCCTCTCCACAGCCCTTGGCCACCACCATCCTAGTCTCTGCTTCTATCGGCTTGACTGCTTTACATTCACGTGTAAGTGGAATCACGTAGCATTTGCCCTTCTGCATCTGGCTTGTTTCACTTAGCATCATGTCCTCAACGCTCACATGCGTCGTCACAAATGGCAGGGTTTCCTCCTTTTCTTAAACTGAGTAATATTCTATGGTGTGTCTATACCACATTTTCTTTATTCATTCATCTGTTGGTGCCATTTGGGTTGTTCCTATATTTTGGCTATTTTAATTAGGCTGCAATGAACATGGAAGTACAGGTATCTCCTCAAGGTCCTGGTTTCAGTTCTTTTGAATGTACACCCAGAAGCAGATTTTCTGGGTCGTATAGTAGTTCTAGTTTTAGTTTTCTGGAGGAACCTCCACACTGTTTTCCATAGAGACTGCACCATTGTACATTCCCACTAACAATATACACGGGCTCCAATTTCTCCACATCCTCACCAGCACTTGTTATCTTTTTGTTTTGTTTTATTTTATAACATCCATCCTAACAGGGGTAAGGTTATATCTTATTGTGGGCTTAGCTTGTGATGTTTAATGGTGTTCAGCACCTTTTTATATCTCGGCCATTTGTACATCTTCTTCAGAGAAATGTCTATTCAAGTCCTTTGCTCATTTTTTAACCAGGTTGTTTGTTTTTCTGCTACAGAGTTTCTTATAAGTTTGAATATTAATCACTTATCACGTGCATATGGTTTGCAAATATTTGCTCCCATACTATAGGCTGCCCTTTTATTCTGATGACTATTTACTTTCCTATCATCAATTCCTGATGCTGTCATTTGGACCAGAGAGTATCTTGAGTATTAGGGAAATTAGGTCCCGGTCTCTCACTCACCTTTACCCCTATGTGCATGAATAATCAATGGGTGTTCTTGCTAATCCTGATTTTGGCTTGTAACACTGCTTTACTTGTAAATTCTTAAGTAACTAAGAACTGGCACCATGGCCTAATCCACCTAGAATGTCCTCATTTCTGTCTACAGTCCCTTGGCAAAGGTAGAGACTGAAAGAATGTCTGGTTCTACAATGGGACTGATTCCCAGCCAATGACAGTTAGGAAAGATTCATGCTTAACTGAAAAGAACAGGTAAATGGTTTTGCCATCTAATAAGTGGGTGAGACAGTAGCAATAATATAGTTTCCTCACCATAAATTTGAGGGTCAAAAGATAGGATCTGGAATTCTGGAGAAAGATCTGGCCCAGAGAAATCAATTTAGAGCATTCAGTACATCAGTGAAATGGCCAGGATTGCCTCGTGAGAGAACAAAGAAGGTTCTGGACAGTTTCTGAGAGGAGTGACAGGGGAGCTAACCCAGGACAGGTAGGAAGGTTGTCCTATAGGGCTGAAGACTCAGCAGGGATTGAAGACACTGACTTCGTAAGGGCCCAAATTCACAAAGTTGACTTTTTGTTTAAAGAAATACATAGTAGTAGGCTAATAGTAAGATCAAAAAGGGGTTGTGGTTGGGTTGAGGAGAACCAGGGGCCTGGGATGAGAGACAAATGGGAGGCGAGAGGAGCGATCCAGGACAGCTCGTGGGACAGATCAGGGGGTCTGGGAAGGGAGTTAAGCCAATGCTATGCTGACTAGGGGCAGGGGGAAGAGTGAAGGGACTGGAAGTCAGAGAGCTGGTGGCCCAGAGAAGGGGCGAAAGGGCTGGAAGGGCAGCGAGCTGTCCGAAGACAGTCGGTAAGGTCACGAAGCTGGGAAAGCTGTGATTAAAAATGAGAGCTGTCCTGAAAGTTCAAGGTGTAAATTGATATATTTGATCAACAAGCTTAGGAATTCTATCCAAGTTAAAAAAAAAAAGGGGGGCGGGCACAGGTAGTTATCTCCTAGAACAAATTCAGTTTTGATCTAGCCTTGATCATTCCTTTTATGATAGAATCTGCGGATCTAACATGCTAAAATATTGGCAAACATAAACTCAAAATAGACAGTGGAATATATGTGCAAAGCCAAATGCAATAAATATTTACATAAATATAAGCCAATACATTTTCATATTCATAAAGAAGATGGATTAGACAAACACTGTATATACTTATTTCTGATGGTTATTTCAATACATATTCAATTCCCTCTTTAAAAACAAAACTGTAGTCAATGAATAAGACTGACAAAACTGAAAATATCTACAACCTGGATCTTAATGGCCTTACCTTAGACCATTAGGGTAATTTGATCTCGGTAATTTTTTAGCTTAAAAACTTAGCTCAGTGTAGTGCAGACAGAAAGTGGGTAGTTATACCTTCTAAAAGGCCTTAACTGGTTTCTGGAAAAAGGAAGGCAAGCTGAAAGAATATGGCTTAGTCTATTAAACTGATTTAATTAGTTTTAAAAGAGGCACCCAAGACCCCAAACAACTATGTTTTCTGTCACATGGTAAAGATGCTGCCTCTACACGTGCAAAGGGTTTTAGGTCTAAAAGATTATATTGGCATCACATCTCTTTCCTGGTGAGGTAAGTTCTCAGCCCTAGCTGCATATGGCAATCAGCTGGGGAGTTTTTAAAATATCAATGGCCAGGCCCCAAATTCCAGAGATGCTGAGTTTTGAGATGGAGCCAGACACCAGGCATTTCAAAAGCTCTCTGGGTAATTCCAATGGGTGGCCAGGCCTGAGAGCCACTGCTGCAGGCAGTCGTGGGCTGTTTGGGTCTGAACACACCTTTTCCTACTCTGGCAAACACATCTAGCCTAAAACATATTAATTATTTTTGGCTCTTTGTATATAGCGGTAATTACTGAGGATGAAAGAGAGTTTTGCCTGAGCCTTTTCAAATCGAGAATCTGTGGTAATGACGGCTTGCAGTTCATTCACTCATTCCTGGGAATCAACACGCACCTCCTATGCTCTGCTCGGCACTGGAATAAGCCACTTCCAGGTGACAAGTGCCCTTCCCCAGGGTGCTAGACATTTATGGGCAGGGGTTCCTTACAGTGGTAATTCAGTCCAGTAAGAAAAAAATATATGATAAATATTTGCAAAAACAAATAAAATGTGTTAAGAGCTTATTTATTGTGTGCCAGGGCTCTGTTAGGGCTTGACATAGAGGATCTTATTTAATCTTTTTTAACAACCCCAACTAGGAAGAATATTAATATCTCAGTTTTATAAAAGAAAACCAAGCCTCAGAAAGATGCATAGAGTGATATCGCTAATAAATAATGGTGATGAGTTTGCATTCTAGGACCTGAGCACTAAGTCACTATGCTTCACTAATAGTTAATTAGGTATTTCTATAGCATACTTGTTCTTTCATTGATGAAAAATACCTTTTCTCTAAGCTGAGACTTATGCCTGGGTGTTGGATCACAAAACTTGTTCATTATTTTCTTGCAAAAAAACTCTGAACAACAGGAAGAAATTTTTCAAAGGCTGTGCACATACAAGCATTAACAAATCAAGTCTAAGTAATTTATATCAAGGTGGAGGTGATTAAGAGAGTCAGTGAGGAAAAGTTAAATAGCAATCAGAAGACCTGGTCATGCAATCTCTCTTCCTAAGAAGATCATGTCAGTAATCAGTGGGGAATTAAATGTAAAAATGCCTTGTGAAAAACACTATGTGAACTATTATTAATTTCAGTTTTTTTCCTAAAATTTAATGACTCTGTTGGACAGTAAGTGATGAATAGTTAAATGCCACTGAAATAATCTGGGTTGCCTTTTCCTAAAAATTCCCCTTTTATCTTTATAAAGTATTTTTAAAAGATTTTATTTATTTTTAGAGAGAGAGGAAGGGAGAAAAAGAGTGAGAGTAACATTGATGTGACAGAGAAATATCCATCTGTTTGCCTCTTGTATGCACCTTGACTGGGGATCGAACCTGCAACCCAGGCATGTGCCCTGACTGGGAATCAAACTGGCAACCTTTGGCTTTGCAGGATGATGCCCAGCCAACTGAGCCACACCAGTCAGGGCACAGTTCCTCCTTTAACTTGGTTCTTCTTCAAGGTACCTCTGCTCCATCTGCCCCAGAGCATGTCAACAAATCAAGAAATGAAGAAAACTATTCCATTCCCAAATGTGCCTCTGATATACACTGAGAAGTCTTGTCTCCCTGACCAAAAGTAAAACCCAGACCACATGCAAATACCACAAAGCAAAAGGTTTGAATGTCTGACCTCCTGAACTAATGAAAGTGTGGTTTTATGAAGTTGTAGATTAAGGAAACATACCCAATACCTTACATATGCCATTAATACAGACATTTCTGCTGTTGCCACCTTCAAAGCAAGGGGTACCATCAATAACAGCATCCAGCATTTTCTCGGAAAACTGGCCGTCTATGGGTCGGCAGTAGAGCTCACAAGGATGTGCTGAAGGGGAAAAGAGACAGACCTTTGAAGTTAGCTTTGCAGCCCAGCACCCTTCCCCCAGAGTCCTTTCGTACATGGTCATACTCATGGCCCCGAGTGTCGTTAATCTGGAGATGCCCATCTTTACTTTTCTATGACATGTGCTGAAAATAGTGTTTTTTTCTTTTTTCAGTTAAAGAGCTTTACAAATTAAATTGGGAAGATTGCTTTAAAATGCTATGCCCTTTGTAATCAATGATGAAGCCTCTCAATCCAGTATCGAACTGTGCTTGTGAAAGTAAGGCACCGCGCAGGTGGCGTTAACCTGGATGTTAAGTACTGTCAGGTACTGCTGCAGGAGCTCAGGCCAGCCCGACACCTGCCCCCACTTTGCGGCAAAATACGTACACCTCCAGGGGAGGTGGTTCTGTCCGATGGAACCAGCTGACACCGAAACTACTACCCCACCGCCCCAAAACTGTCCCTTATTTTCCTCAAGCTCAAAAAGTCCCTGGACACAGATTTACATCCACAAAAATAAAGGATCTGCTTTGTTCGTGAAGTGGAAGCCAAGCTGCTTATCCTAATGGTCCATCCCATCATGCTGCATCCTACACTGAATCCATCCTAAGGTTCAATTTTCTAGTCCCTATGAATGAAGGCAGGGTGATCTCCAGCACAGAAGTGTTCTAAGGATTTACTTAACAAAATACATACCTATACATAGGTACTTGGAATAACCAGAAAGATAGATAACCTTTAAACAGACGTGACCTTACTTAAAAGATAAAAATTTTAACAAGTAATACATGCATATGATAACAATTCAAACAGGAATTTTCTTTTGAATGTCTTGTTTTCTTCAAGGGAAGAACTTCTGAATGCCTTCTTCAGAAAAGTCCTTTTGGGATCTCTGCTGGATCTGCTTCTCATGGGAAGGACTCTCAGTTTCTCGGTGGTTTGACCAGCGGGGGCCTCAATGACACCAGCTGTCGGGCCACGTGCCACGTACCCACTGCAGTGTCGATGAACACCAGGTGCAAAGCCAGAATGCACAGCCCTAGATGTGGCTGCTCCAGGGTGCAACAACACACACGATGAAGTAGTAAAAGTATAAAACCCATAAATGCAACTAAGAGCAAGAGCTCCAAACACTGGAACTGTGGACAAACTTGAGACAGAGGTCCAAAGCATGTGCTCAAAGCTTAAAGAAAGAATAGCAACCGATTTTCTATAAGGTCCCATGGATGAGTTGTCTGAGAAAATGAACAGTCAACACAAGCTGGAGAGATCGCGGGCAAAGTGCCAATGGAAAGGGGCCAGCAGACTCCAGGAACAAGGCATGACATGGATCATTGTAAATCTTCATTCCTGGAAGCATGATTAGCTTTTTGTCACAGCCTGACCTGGAGCAGAAGAACTTGGAGCAATTTCTGCTCCGAGACAAGAGAACACCCATCCCTGTGAGTGAAGTCCAGAGAACTGTTTGAGAAACCTTGGGCTGTCAGGAAGGGTGGAAGCAAGGGAAACACTTTACATAAGACTTTGATTTGAGCTTCAGAATTTGGCTCCAGAATTCTGGAGCCCAGAAATTCCTAATCTGGGACATGAGAGGCTCAGACCTCCCAGGTTCTCTGCACACTTACATTTTCCTTAGAGGCGGTTTCTATCTAAACCCCAAGGATTCTTGTAATAAACTGTATGCCTGCACCCAGGTGCCCCTGGGTGCTGGGACTATCCCTCCAGCTCTTGGGAGTGCTGCCAGCAGTGGCCCTCAATTGTCACCTCTGCTTAAAAGAGCTTCCCTGCCCAAGACAGTCATCTGCTTCCAGGGGCAAACCACACCCAGTGACTGGTCCTTGCTGGGCATAGGGACCTGGCTCCCTCCCGCCCCCTGGAGGTCCACTCCATCTCCAGGGCTCCCACGGAGCTGGAGGAGGCCTTTGTCAAGGCTGCGATGTAGCCCAGCTCTGCCCTTGCCCGAGCCCACCTCCTTCCCTCTCCTTCCACAACTGCTGAACATCCGGCACGCTGGTCTCCGTCTTGGAGTCTGTGTCCCAGGAACTTGATCTGCAGCAAATTCCTGAAAGATGGCCCTGAAGGCTTTTGTCCCACGAGGAGCAGACTGTGGTCTAATCTCATGTCGGACCCCCACATTTGCCAGAAACCTCACTGGCATCCAGCATGAATTGGGCTCAAATATTTAGAAGAAACAATTTTAAAAATTTGCTTAAATCCACAGTTATTTGAGTGTTCTGAGAAAAAAAATAGAAATCTAAAAAGGAAGAGAGATTCCAGGAAAGTGATGACATTAAGATCAGACTCTGGTCATTTTCTAATTGAAGATGCAGGATATAAACTATTCTATTAATACAGGCTAACGAGGTCCTCGGGAATCTGCATAAATTACTGTGTGTGTGTGTGGGGTGTGTGTGTGTGTGTGTGTGTGTGTGTATCAGCTTCTTAGTCAAACAACCTACTGTCTTCTCTGAGCCTTAGCTTCTTTCTTGCTAAAGGATGGGGAGGGATGAAGGAGGATGATGTGTGGTCACAGGCTGACGTGAGCACAGCTCAGAAAATGCAGCTGACACGTGGCAACGCTTCCTACTGGCGCCCACGTGGCCGCGACCAAGTGGAGTTGGGAGAAATTCTTTTCTTTTTGCCAAGAATGTGAGTAAAGAAAATGTCTACTTTGGAAAGTCAGCTGATCTAGATTAGTAGTTTTCAAAACTTTTAAGCAGAATTATTTTTCTTTTTTTAAGCAAGACCTTGCCAATAAGGTGGATGAAATCTGAATATTATTAAGCACAGATTTTATAAGTTCAAGTATGCAATGGTTAAAAATAAATGAGTGGGATTCACAGAAACTATTAAGATCAACAGAGAATTTTGACACTGAGCTTATGAGTGGCATTACGACTTATATGGACTGCAGCATCTAATTTTTTTGTGTGAGTTTTTGGTTCCATACTATTGAAAAATCTTGACTTATATGGACAAATAATTGTAAAATGTAAATGATAATAGTTTAGAACAAATCAACCTGCAATTTCAGGATATTTTTCAGTTAAATTGTGTTGATGAGAGATTTAAGGTCTGCAGAAAGCCAAATTAATTTGACCAGGTAAGTTAATGCATTGGTGGTTTCTGATATGTTAAAACTGGACTTGTAATATTTTTTAGTGTAAGCACTGTTCTTTACTGCACTTTTAAAAAATAGTTAAATTTTTAAATGAAATTAGCATCAAGCAATGTTGGAAGCTCTTGGATTCCATGAAACTAAGTTTGCAAACTGTAAGATTTGCTGGAGTTTCTATGCTTATTCTAAATGTTTAAATCTATGCTTCTTCTTCAGTCACTGGCAGTCACCAAGACACTTAACACTATGCTAGAACACTCTACTGTACATGTAATTTACTCTCTAGTGACTTCGAAGGGAAAGGCTGGGAGGGTGCAGAGCCCGCTACGCCTGGCACAGAGTAAGTGCTCTGTACACAGTTGTCGATATGAACGACCTACTTGTCACTGGTAGGAATGCCTGTTGACTAAGCAAATAACAACTCTGTAGGATACAGTTTGATGAGGGGACAGAAATTAGTGTATTGGTAAAGGTAATAGTTACTATATCAGCAGGCACGCTCCTAGGCTCAAACAATAAATAGCCCAGGGGGCTAAAGAAAACCAGGGACAGAGGGTGGAGGCTTAGAGCCCAGGCAAGGAGTGAACTTGGCTTAATTCCATCTTTTGGTTGATTCAGCCTCATACCAATGTCAGATGCAAACCAATTATTCCAAAATGAGTGAAATGTAAGTCTATTTTTATAACTCTCATTTCTTCAGTACCTATTCTATGCTAGACAAAAAGTATGCATGTGATAAATGCTTATAAAAATACAAAAAAAAAACTAGGCTGAAAATCTTTTTTCCCAACTACTAAAGCCATCAGAGTTGGGACACACCAGTCCAACCCTGCCTCTGGGGTGGGGTTGGGGGATCTCCACACTAAGTACCTGTCATACTATTGGGGTGGCTATGCTACTTCAGTTCTGCAAGGCTGCTCACTTAGGGCCATAGGAGCATGCAACCAGAAATTTCAAAAATAGAGAATGTCCAGAATATAAGAAAGGCAGTACCTTTCAGCATTAGTTTTTTGTTGTTTTTTTTAAGTATATACATGAGTTTTCCTATACTCAATGCCTGGCTCAGGAAGCTGAATTGCACCAATAACCAATGACTAGCTCCTGCAGAGCATGAATGATGCTAATCAATGAGGGACAAGAAGCACACATTGTCCATGACAACCAGGAGCTATCAGTATCTTGGAGACCGAAAGTGGACTACCGATCTCAAATCTCCTTAGCTCAGGAAAGTCTCTTATGTTCCCTCCTTCACTGGAACAACCACAAATGGCACAGATATTTTCTGATGTTGATCTACAGCTAATGGTTAACGACAGTCTTCCTTTCGAGTCTGCACTGCCAAGGCTGCCACTCCATTCCACAGCTCGGGTCTGTCCCCACCCGACATGCATCCTTTAGATGCTTGCTTTTACTTTTGATCCCCCTGAGACCGTATTGTATTCACAACACGCTCATTTCTGGCCCAGAGCTGGCTCTCGTTTGTTTCTGAAGAGGTCACTCCTGCTGTCTTTCCTTGTCCTGTTCTGTGCCCACATACAATGACTATTTGGATGCCTTCCCTGTTCCGTCTTCCAGTAGAAAGACCACTCAGACTAACAGATCATCAACTCCTTCCTTGGGAGCCTTTTGTGAAATTACTCTAAATGCACAATGACCTTTTCTGCTCAAAATTACAGTTGGCTTCACATGCTCATCAACAAGCACTTTCATCAGTGATCAGTGACCAGATTTGTGCATGCCCCACTTACCGCTTAGCTGCCCCTCAGCTGTTTGGAAGCAAGCCACTATGTCTGATCAGCTTCTCTGTTATCTCCCACATAGCACAGCCTGGAACTCGGACATATGCAGCCTTCAGTATTTACTGATCAGCTTAACCGGAGCAGTGATTTTACCTTCTAAAATATAAAACACCTGTATGGTACATTTCTCTTTCTTGTTGAACTTTGCAGGGTAGCACAGACCCCTGACATACGCTTTCTGATAATGACTGTGGCCCGAGATCTGGAACACACTATTCCCGCTCCTCACCTGGACTAAACACCGGAAACCAGCTGTAGAATTCATTCTTGTAGGGGACGGTGTCGAACTCGCTGCACTGCATCTGCCGAAACGTCGGTGCACCTGGGCGGCAGGGGTGCACGTTGCACAGGCGGTAGCGTTTTCTTTCTCCAGTGCAGTACTTGCCTCCGAACTTTGGCCTACCGGTGGGACACACAACTGTCCTGTTAGTTTCCTTAAAGGCCAGCACCTGCATTTCAAACTCCCCTAGCACGTGGCCGTGCTCACTCTGTCCCAAACCATGTCCCTCTCTATCCTCAAAGCCCACCTTTTAAATTCATTCTTCCAAGTTCATACATTTTCGTTTGCGTGGTGGCCCATGACCATCCAGTCCCAAGTGCAGAGCTGCCTATTTTGAAAGAGTCTGACCTTCTCCCTCAGTCAGTTGCTTTGCTACCAGTTGTAACTTTTTATTTGTTTCCTCTTCTTCATTTTCATAATCACCAAACTTGCCCAACCCTTGTCTTCATGTCTGGCTCCCCTCTGACCATCTTTATTTCTTCATTCAGCCCAATATATACGCCATTATTTGGTTAACTCTTACAATTACCTGAATCATTTTTTTCTTCTTTAAACACCTTTAATGGCACCCGATGGCCACAGAATCAAGTCCTGCCTCTTGAGCTTGACCTTCAAGGTCCTCATGATCCTGGCTTTATTCACAGTAACAACCTTACCTCCCACTCTCCCCTCGTGTGCACACCATTCCACTGATATAAGTGGACGTATTCAATATTTTTTCTCTGTGCCTCTGGACAGATTTCCCCTCTCTTAAGGCCCTAGATGTCCACATACCACCCATGCTTTAAGGAGCAAATTAATGCCATCTCCACCATGATTCTTCCCGGAATCCTGCCAGAAGGAATCTCTTTCTCCTCTTCAGCAAAGCCCCCTTACCCTACTGTATGTGCTTCCTGCACTCAGCACTCCCAAAGATGATTTTCTGACTTAGGAAGTTCAGTCATTGAACTTCCAGTAGGCGGCACAAAGAACTGTCCTTGGTATGTGAGGTTAGGCTGGTTTTCTATCAGTCATGACAGAGTGACTCTGTGACTTGGCATCTCTCCAATTCATCTCCATCTGACAAACATCACTGAGGCCAATTTTATAAGCCAAGCCCTGCTGGGTCCTCCCTAGACAGCTGACCAACATCAAGGGTACAGTCTCAAGGTCACTTGGTCACTCACTGACCTGGATCCGTGAGAGTCCCACTGGCATTGCTCTCAGCAAACTTAAGCCAACCAGCTACTGAGTCCATATGTGGTCACTCAGCTGAGGGGACTCTCTGACAGACTGTGGCCTCTGAAACGGGAATTAGGACCCTTGTCCCCCTGAAGCTCCATTAGAGACTCGCCCTTCCGTGCCTCAACAAGGATGCCCATTTCGGACGAGCACGGGTCCCTGACCGTTATCCCAAAGAGGCCACAGACCGGTGGCAGCTGCTATGCAGCACCGACAATAGGGCCGGAGCGGCTCGTCTGTGTCTCTGATTTCCCACACTTTGAAATAAACTATCAAGATACTTTTATAAAAAATGAAGTATAAGAAATTCCTGTTTTACATTTTTGAATTCAAATAAACCTCATATTTTTTAAAAACCAACTTTTATCCAAGAGTAAGAGTTTAAAACAATTTTGTCCAAATTCCTCAACTGTACACTTAACGTGTGTGGAAATGATAAAATATCATAATAATGACTATACCAATTACCATTCACTGACAATTTTTGTTGTAGGTGTTGCATTAAACTATAGATATTAACTCTTAGAAATTTATTATATGAGGTATGAGGTATATGTGGGGTGTGTGTGTGTATATATATAAACACATAATAATGTATTTATTAATGAAGAGAAAAGATTTGAAACAGATACTGAGGAGGCTATAGTAAGATGTATCATTTGCCTTTTTAAAAAAACGTGACTCTTCCTCCCCAACGCAGACTAACGTAAAAATAGGTAAAAGGAGTTTAATACATTTTCTTCTTACCGGAGGCATTCAGTGTATACTTTAAAAAAATTATACTTGGGAACTGGTATACCAAGAAGTAATACAATTAGAATTATTTCAAGTATATATATTTGGAAAACAAGGGAATCTAAATTAAATTTATATGTAATATCATCATACAAACGTAAAACATGAAAAAAATTGAAGGCCACTTGTGAAATAATTCCTATGGAATCCTTAAAAGTCTCATATAGATCTCTAAGGTTTACAAAATGCTTATCTAAAACAGTAAAAATAATAATCCTCGAAAATGTGCCTAGCTATTTTTTTAGTTACCTCACTCAGGGAGAAAAAAACATTTTTGTAAAATTATATGTTCTCTATGATTGACAGAAAGCTGCAGTCTTATCAGCAGAATGTGGTCTAGGGACCTCTTACTGAAAGAGTGGTTTGTCTAGAAGAACTTAAATGTGTAATTTTCTAGGGGCTTTCCCACAAATCACACTGTATTTTTTTTAAAGTGCTTATTTTTCCAGGTGATGGAATCAGCATATTTATCCAGGTTCTAGCAAGAATTCAGTGCCAAGCCAAAATGAAATCCAACAGAACCACTGTTTTTTACCCTCTATGTATCTCAGGTCCCCTCGTGTCTTTGGGAGCCCACTTAATGTCCCTTAGGAGGCTCGGGGTCCCTAATGTCACACTAGCCACGACCGGTGACTCCAGGAAGGAGGGAACATATTTGGCTGTGCTCACTCAGGGTTGTTGCAGAGTCTCTCTGCGCTCTGGGCTCCGGCCCCGCACGTCCTGGAGCAGTGCGACCAGGGGGACCAGCGGCCCCAGCCTCCAGGGATGCTCTCCGGTTTCTTCCCCACCGTGATACACTTGCCAGCCATGCACCACTGGAAAGAGAAGAGGAGGAGATGTGTGGGTCAGGAAGATTGCCATAGCAGAATGAGCCCAGAACCTTGGAAGTCTGACTGTAATCCTCTGAGCAAGCCTCCTACAGTCGTACATCACACGGAGAACAAAGACAAACTCCTACAAGAGTTTCTTCCACGAGGAATCAGAGAATTTCAGGAGCTCAGGGAACTTAATGGTGTCTAGCCACAGCCAACGCAGGAGTGTTACTCAAAGTGTGGTTGCAGACTGCAGGCCAGAGTGTAAACCAACACATCTCTTCCTTAATGAGAAAGCCTTGCTAGGAAGAGCATGTCAGCTTAGTATGTATGCTTAGTAACATAGCTGTTTGGTGACATAACTGATTTACCTCTCTGGTTCCAGCTCCTTGTCTCGTAGACAATAACAAACATTTTGCAGACTGGTACTGTAATGACACTTCTTTATAGCCTCTATGGGTATTTAATGTCAGCAACAGATAACTTTACTCTCCTGGAAAACGTCCATTCGTTGCCAAAAATTATGACTTACTGAGAACTTGAAGTTCTTTCTAGGATCAAGAAAAATTTCTCCTTTTCTGCAACTCTACCCAGCGTTTTTAGTTTCTGGCCTTTGAGGTGATCCAGACACACACAAAATCCACTCTCTCCCTCTTCAGGGCAAAGCTTCAACAGCTCTCAGTTTAGGGGGTGAAACGCGAAACAGGAAACAAAAGGAAGAAAAGACAACTTGGTTGTTAGAAATGGCCACATTACCTGGAGGATTTGGCTATGTTTTAGCTCTTGTCCTCATTATTTCTGATCACTGTGTATGTTGACCAAGTTCTAAAATCTCAGTGATGGGTCAGGCCACACTGAAGCTGCATAAAGATTCCCCCTAAACGCCCAAATTCTCAGCCCACAACAGACCTACTGGCTCCAGGCAGCTGCACGTATTACCAGCTCTTGGCAAGTCTAGAGAACACCTAACATCTCTGAGTTCGTGGGTGTCTGGCTTTCCTGCTTAGTAGAGTGGACAGATGTTCAAGACACACAGTCAGGTCAGATAATGAGAAAGAAGAAAGTGGCCCAAACCCATCATCTCTGGAAAGAAGCCACCACTGACCTAGCCTTCCTAATGTTTAACATGAAGGGGAAAGAAGTGAAAACCAGGTCAGCAGACGCTACTAACCACAAGCTCCATAGAAGTTCATCAGGAAAAGAGGGAACAAATGTGTTGCCAGCCCGGCATGGAACTGCGTCTTCCCTGAACTACTTGCTCCCGGCAAAGGCTCACAAGGTGCAGTAGCAGTGAACCCTTCCCTGCGGCTGGCCTGGTTCTAGGATCTCTGTCTGCCCAGGGACAGCTGCTCTCCAGGGCCTTCTCCCCGGCCGTCCCCGAGAACTCCACGCCCACCGCCCACCCGCCTTTCTTCACCTTCTTCTCACCACATCGCGTCCCATCCGCCGCAGCATCCAGCTTGGAGCGGCAGAAGCCTCTCACCAAGCACCACAGTGTCTGACAAACATTCTGGAAAAAAAAATGTGAGATCACCCTTTTTAATATTTTCAAAACTTGCACAAATGCGTTTCTAGAGTGGTGGTAAAATATAGGCACTCACCCACCCACCCGCAAGAAATGCTGCTGTTCGTAGTGAACAAGAGTGAGAAAAGGCGACCCATCAAGAGCACTCCCAGTTCAGACTTGTCTGGACTTTGTCGTCACGCATAAACAGTGGTGTGTAGCCCATCCTGGGCAACAAGAAAATGGGAGCTACAGCACACCTCCTAAGAGCTGAGACTGTAATTTCAGCACGTGTGGCACAATATCACTGCCCTTAGGCAGGGTAACTGGTGATATTAGCCATCAAAGGCCAATCCGAAAACTGTGGATAGAAGTTGGCAGAGAAGGGGTGACTGTCACTTGCGCCTGCTCACTGAAGGAAAAGGAAACCAGTCCTCCCAGAGAGCCTCCACTTGCTTTCTTACTACTGAAAGTAGCCAGCTGTTTAATCTGCCGGCCTCCAAGGAGACCAGTGAGGGGACTGGAGCATTTTCTAGAAAAGGGCAGACTTTAGAGATATGTAGGAGGCAGGACTGGTGTGATGTGGTAGCCAGTTAGAAGTGAGGAGTAGGGGGTTTTGCACCAACTTTATCTTTTCTGTTCACTTTTGCTTGTTCTAAGCATTTGTTTACTGCTCCCTCAAAGTCTTTCTCTGTTTCTTTTTCTGTCCTTATCTCATTGTATGAAAAAGTTCCTACCTGCCTCCTCTACCAGAGCTCCTCACGGGCAGAGGCTCTGCCTTATTCACTGTATTTTATTTTAAACTGTTCTTAACACATAGCATACGCCATAGTACACCATCTGAAAGGTGCAGAATAGTACAGCGTAAAAAGTGAGTCAACTGCCCACCCCAGTCCACGATCCACAGAGGAAGCCATTGCTGAGTCTCGTGTAGCTTCAGAGAAGTCAACACACAAGTGGCAGCACAATACACACGCCTGCTTTTTACAATTTTTATATCGTTGTAACAACGCTTGTACGTAGTATTTCAATGCCTGAATGGAGCATACTTTAACCAGTTCCCTACTGGATGTCTTACTAATCTCAGAGTGCTCATCTTTTCCTTCTCGCTCAGCACCGGGCACAGAGCCTGGCATGGGCTCAGCAAGAGTCGCTTCTCCTCGTCTGTGTGCTAACGATAGTGCTTTCACACTAACGGCCCGAGTTCGGGGAATAGTCAATACCCAGCTTACAAAGGAGCACTCACGGGCCAGTTGGGGCTTTGTCCTGTGGTCAGTGGGGACCGTAAGATTGGAGAAGAGCCATGGTTAGATTTGTGGGGGGTGGGATTTGAGATAACTTGAGAAATACTGGGGGAAAGACGAGGCGGGAGGTAATTACGACAGTGAGGAGAGGTGATGAGAGACTGAATCAAGACAGTAGCCGTGGGAATGAAAAAAAAAAAAAAAAACAGGGCAGGGCTGCAGACTCTTTAGGAGTTAGCCCTTGGACATTGAAAATAAAGATGAAGAGATTGGGGATGAGTCTTTTCCCTACCATGAGAGCTGGTGGTGCTCTTGAACCAGGCAGGAGGTTCAGGAAAGAGAGCAATGATGGGGATTAAGTCATTTGCACGTGTGAATAACTGATTCTTGAAACTCACTATAGAGTTTTCTTCCCCACCCTCCAGTGGCAAAGGATAGCTGGCTCCACAGAATGCCAAGAAGGTAGAATTAAGTCATATAATGACTGCAACATCAGTCCTTCTGCCTTACAGACATCTTGCCATATAAATAGAAAGTTTTCATTTCTGTGTCTGGATCTTGATATTTCCAAATATTCCCCTGGCCCTTCTTCCAGCATACTGGACATCTGAAGACCTGCACATGCCCATATGAGGCACCGGGATACCCAGCACTTACTTCTACTTCCTGGCAGAAGGTAGCGTTGGGGCCATACTGCAGCTGGCATTGGTGGTGAACATCATAGATCACTCCGGGAGCAATGACCTTGGACTTCAAGCCTTTCTTCTGGGGCATGTCATCAAGACAGAACCCCCAGCCCCGGCTGAAAAGAAGTTAATAGAAATGAGAGCATAGGTTTATGATTTCCTTCATCTTTAGTCTTTCATTCAACAGAAGCTGCTACCCCTCTTGTCTACTCTTTGTCCTTCAAGGCAACTGTAGTCCTACAAGGCAGAGAACACGCCAGGCCCATGTGGGAGCTGTCTAAAAGAAAACCAAAACTACACCCCACTCCATTAGTTCAGATGTGGTCTAGGAAATACAAGGAGTGGTGAAATTAGAAAATCATCATCTTATCTACAGTAGAGTTTGGGTGGTCCCTTGTGACATACCCTGGTTGTTCCTGCCAGTCCCCAAGGACCTAATGCACGCTCAGCTTATAGGAAGCCACCTTGAGACAGCAGCATTCAGGGCACAGGATATGCCCCTGGCTGTGGCTGGAGGGCAGAATCCAGCTAGATCTCGGGATCAGATGCCACCCTGATAGTGTGACTGGAGAGGAACTGAGAGTTTTCCAGGCCTCGTGTCAAACTCAGACTGATGTCTGGTTCCAGGAGACCCAGATGGGGCTGCTCTGAGACGCACTGTCACTTACTCCAGGAAGCGGGTGATGTACTCCTTGCTGCACTTGGACCAGGTCAGCGGGCTGGGATTGTACTGGAGCTGGCGGGACATGATGAACGGGTGCCTGCCCACGGGCTCGCAGTCGTTTTCCTTCCCGTCGTGCTGGATGCCGAAGCTGCGGGGGTACAGCGTACAAGAATATCAAGGGGACGGTTTCTCTGGGGAGAAAATGCCCACGGGGGGCTACAGAAGGCACCCTCACTAAAGGGGACTGTGAAGTTGGAGAGGGACAGCTGATTTTCAACTAAAAGCACAGGGAACACTTCAGGCACGCTTTGCTTCAAATAGGTACCTCTAGGAGCCATGTGGCTAAATCAAAAACTTCTGTTTGGTAGAAAGTAAAGAGCTCCCGGTTAGCTTTCTCTGAGTCTAGAGTCAGGAGGGCAAATGCTGCCTCGAGCTGTTTTCCTTCTTCTGCCGCAGTAACCACAGCACCAAGGAGCAAAAGCTGCCTTCCCCCTTCGCAGCATAATTTAAGCAAGAGCTTGGAAGGGAAAGCTTACGAGAGGCTTGTCAAAGGCCACAAGCTTTGAGGAGCTGTGCTTCTTTCTCATACTGCTACAAGAGCCCCCACATTCGCAGAGATTTGAGAGGCTTCCTAGTCCCATGGGTAGGAGCAGGTCTTCCGAAGACAGATGGCCTAGACCGCAATCATGGCTCTGACACTCAACGATCCATGTTACCAAATCTCCCTCCTTTCCCTCTGCTAGGAAATAGGGTGATCGTCACAGTGTAGCATGTGCTTTGAATGGAATAAAGACTAAGAACCACTTAGCCAGGTGCCTGACATAGAATAAGGGCTTCACAAATGGAAAAAATTCTCACTGCTGTTTGTATCATTGTCTAGCTTATTTGCCTTTTCTCGATGGAGAGGCTTAGCATTTGAGACTTGTCAGAAGTCACACAGCTGCTTAGGGGCAAAACGCGCTTCTCTGCAGGTCTTTGCACTGCTATTACAGTGTCCTTTCCCGTGTCTCCTTTGGTCCGCTCCCTGGCCGCCCACTGCCGGGGCTGACCAGGTACAGCAGCCTTGGAAGGCCCTGAGAGCTTACCTGTCCACCACGGCAGCGGGGTGTCTGGGAAAGAAACAACCTCTGAAGTGTCCATTCAGAGGCCTAGTCCTCAGAGGAGCACCCCAAGATGCCTTCTGGGATCCCAGAAGATTCCCTTCACACGGCCCTGCTTACTGGCCACTTGCAACCCAGAGATGTGCCTCCAATTTCCAGATCTGAATGGAGAACATTATGACCTTTTGGTTTGCCAGTGAAATTCAACCCTCTGACATTAACAGAGGCAACTCTTGCAAAGAATGGTCTTTGAGGGATTTGACTCTTCCCATATTTTTTAAAATGCATTATGCTGTGATGACTTACATACAGACTCCCATGGCATTCTATCATGAGTGAGAAACTGCAAAGGAGCCAGAGAGTTACCCTATGAAGCTCTTACTATCCACAGAGAATGGGATTCGGTGAGAGCTTTTGCCTGAGCGGGCCTTCCCCAGGGTGCTGCAAATCCAGACCTTCCCAATCCAGGAGTTCACCTGCTTCGTAATCGGCAAAAGCCCTACCCTGCAAATATGGCTCTAAAACACACACGAATAATGATTTTTCTAGCATTGACTATCCTAGCACAACAAGCCATACAGATGGATGCTACCAACTGGGTGGATTCAAACCCACACTCAAAATGCATCAGCTCCCCCAAAGCTCACTGTGGTCCCTCTGAAGTGTTCCACTCACTAAAGTGTTTTCCCCTCCAGCTTCGTCCCCCTTTATACTCCCGTTGGACCAGAAAAAAGCAGTGCTCCTAAGCAAATGTCCCCTCTGGACAGTGTCTACTTTCTCTAAATGGGTGGGGCACTCAAGTCACACGGGAACAGTGGCTCAATGAGGAAGGAGGGACAGGGACAGACAGCACCTGGGGCCACAGGGATGGAAGCCTTGTTTCCTGGAAGCTGCCTCCCGACAGGTGTGGTGCCACCTGAGGAGCAGCGTGGAGGAAGGAACTCCCTGGAGCCTGAGAGAGCTTCCTGAGTGGTAGGATTCTCCTGCTTCACTCTGTCTTTGTGTGTACACTCCTTTAAGGTGGGTTTGCCCAACTGCAGACACAAAACAGCAAGTTAATTGCCTGGGTTTTAGGGTATCAGTTGGTGAAATGGGTCTACTCCTTGTCCTTTACTATTCCTGTTACGGTGGAGTGGAACCAACAAGAGCCACGAAGTCAGAATATCAGCTTTTCTGACTCATTCAGACAAGATCCATGTTGTATATGCAAATGAGCAAGGCTCTGTAAATGAAATACACCCCCAACTAGAAGTGGGGGGTGGAATACGGGGTGGACAGTGCTTTTTAAGTGTTTGCCTGTATCGTATTTTCATACCTGAAAGGAAAGGATGCCAGGTCCAGCGAGCCCCTCTAAATTTCCTCCCAGAATGCTGCCTCATTTCTGGTAACTCACGCAGGAGCCCAGCAGGGTGATATGAGACCTACCCATGGATGGCTGATATCATCCATGGCCCTTGCAAATGGATATTTTAAGTTTCCTCTCAAAATAAAAGTAAAAGTATTCACTTAGGCCATAGCACATGATTTTGCAGGACCTGCCCAGCATATTTTCGAGTCTCTTCGCACGGTCAGATTGAATTTAAGGACATGAAGGATCTATTCTTTGAACACAGTAGGAAGGATTTCAGATTATCTTTGATTAAAGCCAAGTCTTTTCAGCTTGTTCTTAGCTTGAGTACACCATTGCTGGAAAGGTTGTGAGCAATCATTTCTCAGTTCGATCTAGTTATACCAGCATGGCTTGGCACGTCAAGCCAACTAGATTGGAGGCTGTTGGAGACACATCTCTCCACATATCAGGATTGAGGACACCTATATGTTTGCACATGAGAATAACTTTCATTTTGTCAAGTTTTATTATCAATATGCCAACAACTAGGACCTGGCCTTTTCAAGACCTAGCATTCTGGCCCCAGTCATTATGGAATTATAAGCAAGTCATTTAACCCTGGTCTCTGAACTTTTGACAACTAAGGAAACTTGGAAGGGCAACTGTGTAAGAATCAGAAAAGGTCACCATGAGCAAAGATTTGTCATTAGAGAACAAGGTTAAGATCAGCCACACCCTTGAATTCCCAGCTATCATATACATATGTGAAAGCTATGCAGTGAAGAAGGCTGATGGGAAAAGATGCACTGGAAGTATGGTGTTGGAGGAGAAACTCTACGCACACCCTGGTCCACCAGAAAGGTGAACAAGTGGGTTTCAGAGCCAATGAAGCCTGAAGCATTGCTGGAGGCAAAAATAGCCAAACTGAAGCTGTCCTAACTTCAGGAACATCATGAGAAGGCAGGGATATTTGGAAAAGACAGTAATGCTGGGGAAAAAACGGCAGCAGAAAAAAAAAACAAATAAGAGACAGATTGACTCCGTAAATGCAGCCATAGACATGTGTCTGCTGGTGAGGACGGGACACGGTGCACGTCATTCATTCACAGAGTCACCAGGAGTTGAAGCCGACTCAACAGTATGTAACGACAAGGACACTAGAACATATATTTATTTCCTCGGGCTTTTTGGTAAGGATCAAAGAAATCACAGTACCTAAGAAACTACCTAGTTCAACCTACTCATTTCACAGGTAAGAAAACAAATGCCTCTTTGAAGGGAATTATTGAAGGCCATAACATGGGCTGATGAAAAAGCCAGAACAAGCACTCACCTTTCTCAACTCCCAAGCCAATACTCTGGTTTTGTACGTCAGGTAAAGGCATTTTGCAGTTCCAATAGGACATGAGAAAAAGAGTGAGAGAGCCCAGCCGAGAGAGCCCAGGTCTGGAGTAACCCAGTCTCCAGGGTTCTTCCCAACCCCACCTCCTTTCCGGACCTTCTCTAAGGAGGAGCTCTGGGCTGGCAGCCTCGTGACGGGCAGCGAGTAGAGACTTTCACGGGGCCCCGCTCTGAGTTTCTGATCAGGATGATGTGCTCTCACTTGTGGTTTGTAAACAGACTGGCAAATTAAGCTACAAATAAGCTAGATCTTTCCTCCATGGGGACCTCTGATACCTGGGGAATCCAGAATCCTCATTATTTCCTCAGTCAAATATTCTGAAACCTACTTTCAAATGAATTTTTATCCAAAGTGACACATTTTGGGTCAACTTGGACTTCTGTTAATTGGTTTGTTGGATGGTTTTTCCAGATTCATAGAAGTTTTCAATTTCTTATTTATTTAATATTCTCCTTTATACACATCAGTAAAACGAGCCTAACACTAGTATTTACTTCATAAGGTCGCTGGGGTGATTCAATGACACATTGCAAAGCAACTGGCATAAAGGAAGGGCACAGAATGTTACAGTTTGTGACTTTTTTAATGATGTTAACATATCATTGTTTCACAAGAACTAACCAGGATTGTTACCCTTGAGTTAATCGGCTGAGTTAAAGCTTCTGCCCTTGCTTCTGCGCACCTCATTTTAATTCAGAGACCGCCACGGCCTCTGGGACTCTGTGATGGAAGGAGCACAAGAGGTCAAGGCAGAGAAGATGCTGGGATCTTTAAAGCTATGATTATTTGTAGACAGCAGACGAGAAAGCAGAAGTTAGGAGGGGGCATTTGAAGCCACAGTGCAACCCAGGGGCCCCCACGGAAGGCGCTCTCCATCCCTTCTGCTGTCTATACTGACACATGAACTTGGCAGAGTGGTCTCAGTCTCCTGGGCCCTTTACCTGTGTCCAAGCTCATGGGCGATGGTGAAAGCCAGAGGGAGGCCCGAGTCCTCATTGATGTTACAGCTCCGGTGCGGCTGGCACATTCCCGACAGGTGAGACAGACCCAGGGTCTCGCAGGGGCGGTTGACTCCTGCGCAGATGTCTTTCCTGAAAGCGGAGGACAGAAGTGCCTAGGAACAGGCAGAGAGGCACAGACACGCCCACGACACCCGCCTGGGGAAATCTGAGTGTTAATTCACACTCAGTGTGGTCTGAAAAGCGGGATTCAAATAATTTTTAAAAGTCCATATGAGCATAGGGAGCAATTGTGAATACATTAAGACTGTTCCGGTCTCACCACTTGCGTATTGAATCTCACTAACATCTAAGTATGTGAGAATTTATGACAGATGCTTTATTCTGAGCTGCTTTTGTGCTTTGATCTCAGGAAGCTGAATTATGTTATTTGCTCAAAAACAGAAGGATTTGCTTGCAAATTTGAACTTTTACACAGGGAACGGAAAGCAAGTAGTAACTGGGGTTTTTCAAATGTGAAATAATTTTTTTGGTTTTTTCCGAAGTCTGTGCTCAAAACTTGTAGAAACTCTCACTAATGAGAAAGGCAATTGGTCCCATACAATCATCCAGAGATCAATCAATTTCCGCTCCAGCTCCACAAGCCTAACGAGATTGCACAGGGGAGGAATGAACCTGCAAATGAACACATGCTGAGATGGAGAGGGAGCGGGAGAGAGAAAGGTCGTTTCCCTTTTCACCGGGACCTCCTTATTTCCCCACCCTGGAAGAAGAAAGGAAAGACCCCAGGATCTCTCAAAATACTAGTTACAGCTATTAAATACAAAAATGCACTCCCATATCCTGGCAGGGGCCATGTCAGTCACTGACTCGCCTTTTGAGTCATTCGCTGGTCATCGGTTTTCTTCAGTTCAGTAAAAACTCTTTGCCAAGAGTGACGAGCACCAATGCCAACCAGGTCTGAGCCTTAGTTGGTTCCAGATCTTCAGCCCACAGGCTCTGTGCGGCCCCATTCCTGGCAGCCCATGGTCTGCTTGTGTGTCTGCTGGGCCGTGGAAGACATCCAGCCCTTGCAAACCGCTGTGAATTCTCAGCTCTGCAGGAGGCCGCGGCTGGGACAACGGATGGTGAGAGCAGCTGCCATGCTGTGCGCATGCCACAGGCCCAGGCCCGTGCCCACTAACAGCAGCAGCTGCTGGGTGGCTCCCTGCTAGAGGGCCGACAGGACCAGACAGCCCAACCACTGAATAACTCCTGGGTCTGCAGTCGGACCGACCAAAGACTTTTCTACTCCTACCTCAAGAGGCATTTTTTACTATTTTTGTTTTTACTATTTTTTACTATTCCTCCTTTTACTAGGTCAGCATGGAGCTGCTGGGAAAAGGTGAAGGGGGCTCATTGCTAACCTGCCCACCTTCTCATTCTCGACAGTGCAGGAAGTTAGGTCCATGAAATAAAATGCTAAAGAGGCTGAAAGGGGTAAGAAAATGATGGTAGGAATATGGTTTTTGCAGGAAAGGAGCTTGAGCTGCCGAAAGGACATGAGCTCTACCTCCCCCGGGCCTGGGGGATATCATAAGAAAATATGCCTTTAGTTCACCGTCACTAAACCATTCCTTTATGAAATGTTCAAGGGACTTATCTAAGAAAAAGAAGATCAAAACTATTAATAGTAAAATGACAACAAACTCACAACTGTGCACACCTGAACCTAAAAAAACAAAAACAAAAACAAAAGCAAACTAAGCAAACAACAGGAACAGAATCACACAAATGGAGATCACAGGGAGGGTTATCAGCGGAGAGGGGGAGAGTGGGGGAACAGGTACAGGGAATAAGAAGCATAATTGGTAGGTATAAAAAAGACAGGGGGAGGTTAAGAATAGTAGAGTAAATGGAGAAGCCAAAGAACTTACATAATATGACCCACATGAACTTAGAGGGAGGAATGCTGGAGGGAATGGGGGTACTGGGAGGAGGGGGAGAAAGGGGAGAAAAAAGAATGGGACAATTGGAATAGCATAATAAAATATACTATAAAAAAACATGCCTTGCATGTAGCCACCAGCCATGTTTCACAGGCTGTGTTCACACCAGAGCCACCTTCTGCTGAATGAAACTCTACAGGTAACTCTGCAAAAGTGGGTCTCGGCACAGCCCTCCAGGGGCAAGCTCAGCCTTGTATCTCTCTCTCCCTTCCTCATTCTATGTCTCATTCAGACCGGAGGTTCTCATGAGGGGGTGATTTTGCCCCCCGCCCCATCCTAGGGGACACTGGGTAATGTGTGGAGATAGTTTGGTTGTGACATCTTGGAGGAAGGTTATTGGCTTCTCGTGGACAGGGGCCAGAGGCACTGTTAAATATACTACTGGGCACAGGACACCCCCTTACAACAAAGGACTGTCCAGCCCAATATGCCATGGGGGCTACGGTTGAGGGATCCTGCTTTAGAAACTGAAATACTCTCCACTGTCTAGGAGCTGGCAAGGTTCATCACAGCTTGAAATAAGTCCCCTGTTCTAAGAAAGAAAAATTACCGTAATAACAAAAAAAGGAGAGCAGGTCCTTTATATTATTATTGCGTAATAGTTAAGAATACAGCTATGACAGTCAAACTAAATGGTTTTTAAGCCCCAGCTTTACCTGTTATGGCAATGACATAAGCCAGATGGAGCTTCCAGGTAGCCAGTGCTGGTCCTGGAACCCAGGGTTCTTCCCTACAGACAGGTCCTGCCCGCACTGAAGTCCTCACCTGGCTTGCTGCCCAGGCCCCCGGTGTTGGCTCCCCAGGACCCCTGTGTTCACACTCCACACCCTCACTAACCTGTTTCCCAGGGGAGCTGTTGAACAGCCCAAGGAGTCAAAGGTCCTAATGGACCTCATGGGACAGGTTTGTGCTACAGACTCCTTTTGGAACATGTTTGCATTTGCCAAAGTTTTGATACTTTTGCTGAAAACAGTGATTCTGACAGAGTTTTTGGTTGGGGTAAGGCAGGTGTTTGGATAGAGTAGGGGCTGACTGTCATCCTTGTAGGTATTCTTTCAATGGGGGTTAACCTGTCAAAGGGACTGACGACAGGCCAGCATGTTCAGGAACAGCCCGTCCTCTGCAGGGACTCCCCCTGCCCCCACCCCCCCACACACAGGGCCTGCCAGGGCATGAAGGGTCAGGCAAAGGGGCTTCTTTTATTACACATCCCTGGATTTCTGGGTGTCTCTGAATCTTCACAGGAGTCCTCATGAGAACTTACATCCCTCCATTCATGAAAGGCCTTCATTTGTCCAGATTAAAATAATGCCTGGTATACAGTAGGTGCTCAACAAATATCGAGTCAATGAGCCAATGTAGCCTTCCGAGAGCCTCTGTTTCAGGGAAGTTCACTAGCTTTTGACAGCTGGGAGTCCCAGAAGGACTGACGGTTTGAATTAGAACTGCAGGGTCTGTCAGTAGTCAAAACAAAATAGCATCTTCACGAGGGTGAAAGGAAGAAAGAGGTGAGCAGAGCACTCTGTCTGTCTGTTGTGTTTGTCTGTTCAGGGGAGGACCTCTCCCGTCTTCTGGCCTCAGCATCAGTCAGAGATCAGTTATAAGAAAGACTTATTTCTCTAGAAACAGCTGTATGTTTCTAAACTAGAGGAACATTGTTGAAATTAAAAATGAAGGGTTGGAATTCCCATGTTTAAAAGTAACCAGTCTTTAATGAGGATCTGCAAACGAGCTGCCTGATTGTTTATAAGGGCGCATAGAGAAGACAGTTTTACAGAGAACTTCACCATTGGGTTAGGAAAGAGGCCAGCACTTGGCCAGCAGACACAGTTCATTAACATGGAGACTTCGGGCACAATCAGCAAGTTTGCTAACTGTCCCCTCACTGGCATGGGCGTCAGGAGTTGTTTACATTGTAGAAGCTACCTTAAAACCAACCAATAGCAGCAAAGAGTAGGAGAATTTCATGAGTATGGATACCTGACCACCCTCCCACCCGCCAGCCCTCCGTGGCTTGCAAGCCCCAGCTTTTTCTGGTCTCAGGGTACCTGGTGAGCAGGACGGCCACATCGTGGTGGGCAGGGTTGAGGTCACTCTTGGGATTGATGCTCTTCTGCCACTTACAAAAGCTGGACAGTGTCTTCTCTGCATGGTGAACTATTTTCAATCCTTGCTGGAGAAAGAAGAGGAAGAGATGCATCGGCACGGGTGAGTTTACTGTGATCAGCACCATCACTTTGGTCCCTAGAAGCAGCTGAGTGAGATGAGCTCTGGCCTGGTGCCTCCAACATGTGGCAGAATTTGGCAGAGCCCCAGGCACTTCTCTGGGCCAACCGCCGGCTCTAAACACTAGGACCCTCATGCCTTCCACTGAAAGAACCTGGAGGGGAGAACTGTAGAACAAAAATGACCCCTGCCACATTTAACTCCGGGAACAAACCTAGAAGTATATTAGCAAAGACCAGCAGCTGTTTGAAGTTCTATTTCCAGTGGCTCTCTGCTTCTACAGTTACTACAATTCCAAAAAGCCTTTCTCTAAAAAATTTCTAATACAAAATGAATGGACTTGGAACAACAGCTTCTTCCTTTCGGGACGCATCCGACAAGGCTGGGGCTGCACTGGATGCTCCCCTGTCCAACCAGCCTTCTCAGTTTGACATCTGTGGGTGAAGGGCAGAGGGTTAGGATCATTGGAACCAGGTAGGATCACTGGTTGTCTGACAGCCATTAGGATGCTGTAGAAGATGCACCAGGCTGCAGCTCTCAGGGTCCCTGAGTCATCCATCTGGTGCACAGTTGCTAATGAGGATGGAAGGAGAGGGGTTGTTCCAAATTAACGGGGTGATGGGGTGAATGCTTGTCAGATGAGGGAGGAAGAAAACAGGCTGTCAGCTCTAAGGGAACTCCAGTTTCATTTGATTTTCTAAAGGAGAAATTCCTTTGCCTTTTTAGGGGTCTTTGTATAGGCCATCCCTGGTACAGGGTGGATTCTACCCGGAGAGTGACTACCTCCATTAGCCCACTATAATCTCAGCCTATCGCTCTGGGCTTGGCCCAGGGACATTGCACTCTCTACATCAAACTATGGACTTGCTTCCCCACTACTCTGTCATTTGCTGAGGCCCACACCCAAATCAAACCAGGCCTCAGAGACTTCAGGTGCCCCCACCTGTGCTAATGAACCACCACAGGCCACCTTCCTTCCATGAATACACAGAAAGGTGGCTCATCACTCATGAAAGCTCACCAAACTGCTTAGTATAATGAATTCAAATAGAAGAAACAGACTTCATTATTCAAAAATACTCATGATAACATCATCCAGCAAAATGATGGATCATGGAGGATGAGGAGGGGGATTTCTGGGGACCTAGGTGAGCACAGGCAGGCAAGCTGAAGTTAGCATAGCAACCCCATCAGCATGAATGACCCGCACTCACCATAGAGCACTGGCCAGGTGGCATGCAGCAGGAATGCAAGGGAAAAGGAAGGAAATAAATGAGATAGAGGATTGGAGGGGAGAAAAGGGAGGAAGAAAACATTTGCCAGATTGTCACATATATTCTCTTATTTAATTGCATCTTCTTCTTAACATCATTATTTGTAAAGAAAGCATTGTTATATCCATTACATAATAAGAGGGAATTAAATCTCAGAGACATGAAGAACCAGCTGAAGGTCACTCAGGTCAGACATTGAGCAGACAAGGGCTCCTGGATGAAGCTATGGCTCCAACTGCTGACCAGCCTCACCAGAACACCCTTTCCTGCATCAGCTGGACTCGCCATTTGGAAGAACTTACATACCAAACTATGTGGTGTCTGTTTAAGGAAAAGTGAACGTTAATATCCTCTTGACATGCACAATTTACACGGATCTCAAGGGAGCTATACTGAATGAAAAAATCTCATCTCAAGAGGTTGCACACTGTACGATTCCGCTTTATAACATTATCGCAAAGACAGTTACGGAGGTGGAAAGAGGCTGGCGCTTTCCCGGGGTCAGGTCGGGAGGCAGGAGGGAGCTGTAAGAGAGAAGCTTCCACTCTCCCTCATCCCTGAGCCAAACTCAGCGTCAGTAAGGGCATGTCATCAGCAAGACAGAACAGTCATTTCCAGAGGTTGGGCATGTGTGTACACTCTGCTTCTAGTTTTCCCAGCATTAGGAAAAGCCCATTTTCCTGAACAACCTTAGAAACTCTGCCCCTGATCCTCTCATTTAAATGATGAGAACATCCAGGCCCGAGAGGGGCAGTACCTTAACCAAGTCGCACAGCAGGTTTTGGCAGAGTGGGGCTGAGATCCCAGGTTTGCAGCTACTGGGCTAGGACTAGTGGTTCCAAACCATTGAAGACTTCTCTCGATCTTTTTGCTTTGAGTTGCTGGGAAGATTTAGCAATTCGCCAATGGAGGATTATGATCGCTTAGTTCTGTTCCACCACTCACTCCCACCCCCGGTGAGGGGACCAACACAGGCAGGGATCCCAACTCTGTCCCCCTCTGACTCTCTGATCACTTCTCAGGCCCCTCATTGTGCTCTTCTTCTGCCCTTCTGTTGGCTCATGGCTAAGTTCATCCCCAACCACCGTCCTATTTGGAGAAATCACCTACGTGCTATTGACTCTCAAACCTGTATCTCATTCCAAATCTCTCCTAGACTTCAAATTCAGTATGCAAATCTTTTGATGGACACCTCCTTCTGGGAGCCACCACAGGCACCCTCATGTCAGCATCCCTGAAATCATTTTCCTGCATGTTCACCTGAGTTCTTCCTGCATCCCCCCGGCTTAGTGACAGGAACCCCCAGCAACCAAGTTGCCCAATCTAGAAACATCGGTGGCTTCCTGGCAGCCTCCTCCCCCCATATCCTGCATCCCAATCTGTCATCACGGGCTGCTCATTTTACCTCTTCTCCATCTCCACTCCCAACCACCCCAGTTCAAACCCTCATCCTTTTATGCTTGGATTTATGCTTGCAGCACCTCTTAACTGCTCTCCTTCTTTCTTCCTTGTTCTCTTTAGTTGCATCCTCCTTGCTGTTGCCTTGCTGTTGCCAAGCCAACCTAGTCAAAATCAGAGTCCGCCCTTAGCATGACCCAGGGTTCACGACTCTTCAAAGTCTATCCTCTAGGAAGCCCTCCCTTCCTTTACAGCCTCACAATTTATGCTCTAGCAACCGTCGGACTGCTTGTATTACCACCCCCCACATTCCCATGCAGCATGCTATTTTTTACCTTTCTTCAAGCTGCTCCATCCACCCCGTTGTCTTTCTCTCCTCTCTTCCCCTCTTTCACTCATGATTTCTCCCTATTGCTTTTGCTGGGTCCTCTTACAAACAAAGCAACTGCACACATAGCTGAGCCGCTGATCCCTTGCAGCTGGGCACCCTGTCCCATGCAGGATTTTCCTCTAGCAGGGGGTGTCCAACCCGGGGCCCAGATGTGGCCCATGATGGCTATGAATATGACACAACACAAAATCATAAATTTACTTAAAACCCTTTTTTTTGCTCATCAGTTTTTGTTAGTGTTTGTATATTTAATGTGTAAGCCCAAGACAACTTTTCTTCTTTCAGTGTGTCCCAGAGACACCCAAAGGTCAGACACCCCGGCTATGATATGGGGCATTTAATCCAAGTTCAGCGACACAGTGTTAAGGACACTTTACTACTTTCCTACCAAATGCCATGGCTTTTCCACGAGGTTTTACTTATGCACAATGTTTCTTCACTCCCTCAGCCTCTAAATCTCCAAATCTCCCAAGAGGTTAAGTCCAAGAAACACTTAGTCATTTCGTTTCTTCAATGCACTTGATCCCAGGAGCCTTGGGAAGAGTACTCAGCTGCACCTGGCTACCACAAAGCCTAAGTAAGCGCAAGAGGCAAAAGCACTCAGAGAGACCAAGCTGCCCACAGTGACTGTGGGGGGACTTGAGCTCAACAAGTTCCATGAAGCATCCTGGTAACTACCTGAGTTTGTCCAAACAAACCCTATCCATTCTAGTTTTTCCCACTTCCTTTGTAAACAAAAACAGATTTCCCTCTTTGTTCTTCTGTCATTTTTCCTCCCCTCATTTTCTCAGATGAGTCCAGTTCACTTCCCACTCCCCCTTTTCTATGCATGTGAGTGGGTGACCTTACACGGCAGGGAGCTGACCCAGAGGAAAACAATGACAGCTCACAGAAATAGGTCCAAAGGGGAATTAGAAAATGATTTGGCAAGTACATGGCTTTTGTTATAAGTTGCTCTGTCTTTTTGGTCTTTTGCTCCTCTGTAGTAAAAAAAAGAAACATGATTGTCATCTAGAAGTCCCAATAGCAACTTTTCGCGGGTCCCCCCCCCGCGCAGGGACAAAACCACCGATCTGGAGGAAAAGATACTTGGTTTTAAAAGAGTAACCAGCCTACAAACTGTTTATTGACATTACTGACATTTAAGAGTAGAAGTTACATAGGTTATTACAGACCCACAAGTCTCCCTGGGGGCAGGGCAAACAGTCAGCCCTGATTTCCAAAGTTAGCAAGCCTTTAACTCCAGAGTCTCACAAAAGTGAGCCCAACACTTCATCACTCTGAGACCAAGAGGGACATTATCTGTGAAAGCATTCATCTCCTTCCTTCCTGTCAGCCTTACAGATGCTCCTTCAAGCCAGCCTGACACCCTCCGGTGTCCACCCTGGATGGCAACGTGACCTGGGGCCCACCTGGCTTCATCCCAGCTCTCACTCCCATCCCAGTATAGGCTCTATCCTGTTCTTAAAAGGAGTCTCCAACCTCTTATGACCCTAATGTTACCAGGGTGTCCAACCTGCAGCTCACAGGCCGCATGTGGCCCAGGATCGCTGTGAATGCAACCCAACACAAAATAATAAATTTACTTAAAACATTATAAGATTGTTTTTGTGATTACATGTTGCAGTGTGTTTAACATGTGGCCCAAGACAACTCTTCTTCCAGTGTGGTGCAGACACCAAAAGGTTGGACACCCTTGCTTAGGCCTTTGGCACAGTTTCCTTATCTATGAAATGAGCTAATAATAGTAATAGGTTTACAGGTTTGTTGGGGCACCTAAATGATGGTGATGATAATGACACGAATCATAAAGATGAAACTAATAAGTAACTATTAACACACTGTTAATCCATGCTGTTACATGGATCAACACATTTGATTCTCACAGCAAGTCCAGGAGTAGATGGTATTACCCTCATTTCACAAAAGGAGTAATCAAGTGGAGATAAGGAGGCACAGACAAGTCAAGTAGCCTCCCAAAGGTTATACAGCTAGAAAGCGGTGGGACTAACTATACATCTTGTACTTCCCACGATATCAACTGCTCACAGAGTTAAAAAAGGAAAAGTAGGAGGGACGAGTCTAATTCTATCTCTAACCCTCGCTCCAAAGGGGAGCAGGGAGGCCATTCAATGAATTGGTCTAATGTGGAAAGGGCTAGAGGCCAAGTCTGAGTCCAAGTCCTTGAGGGAGACTTTAGGGTCCTAAAGCCTAAATGAGAGCTTGGTTCAAGGTTAGATAGAGCGTGGATAGAAATGAAAGCAAGTTAACTCATATCTGAAGCCACTTTTTGATTTCTTGGCCCATGATGTCCAAATACACTTGACATGCCTTTCCAGCAATCCCACTTCTGGGAATATATCCAAAGGAACCCAAAACACTAATTCTAAAGAGCATAAGCACCCCTGTATTCACTGAAGCATTATTTACAATTGCCAAGGTATGGAAGAAGCCCAAGTGCCCATCAGTAGATGAGTGGATAAAAATCTTGTGGTACATTTACATAAGGAAATATTACTCGGCTGTAAAAAAAAAGAAACTTTTGCCCTCTGTGACGGCATGGATGGACCTGGAGAACATTATGCTGAGAGAAATAAGCCAGTCAGAGAAAGACAAGTACCATATGACTTCACTCATATGTGGAATCTAATGAACAAACTGAACTAACCATCAAAATAGAGACAGACTCACAGAGAGAGATCAGGATGACAGCTTGTGCCGGGGAAGGGGAGAGGGTTTGGGGGCGAAGGGATCGAGCGAAAAGGAAGAAGGACTCGTGGCCATGGACAGCAGTGAGGTGATTGTGGGGGGCATAAATGATGGAAAAAATATAATAAAATTTGTTTTAAAACTTAAAAAAATAAAATAATAAATTACGCATTTGGATAAAATTTAGTCAGTGTTTTACAGACCAATCACACCATAATCTCCCTAGTTATCTTCTTACTGGACACAAATCATTTTTATCTCTCCTGGACAAACATCATTTGAGAAATGATTAATTTTCTGCATGTAAACAAACACCTAACTTTCTCTTGTTTAGGCCCTAATCAATAGTAAATAATAATCAGACAGAGTTACATACCCATGGAGTTAGAGGGCTCAGGTTAGATATTGAAAAGACACAGTTTCTGTTTCTCCTGGTTTCTAAAGAGGTCAGGGATAAATTTTCTTCACAGAAGCTTCACAGGTAGGGACATAACCCCTCTATCTGTATTCTGAAACATCCAGAAGACGGCTTTCAAGACTAAGGAAAGTGGGTGGGAAGGGAGCGAAGAATGGTCCCAGGCTCTCGAGATTACTGTTTTCAAGCCACACTGAAGACTGTGGAGGCTTCTCCTGCCCAGAATACAATGAACCCTGCCTGGGGTGTTCTGACCTCAGGTGTCTCACTGTTGGCGGGAGATCTGAATGATGCTCTTCTTTGCATATTTCAGCAACTGGTTAAACTTTGTAGATTATAAAGGCATTTCATCAGGTCAGTGGGTTCATTCACCCACTAAGTCTCACTTCATTCATTCATTCATTCATTCATTCATGTCCCAGGCACAGGTGTTATGTGCTAGGGATATAGCCAGGATCAAAGAAATAGTTTCTGCCTTCATGGAATTCACAATCTGACGGTGGCTGAGAGGAGCAAGGAGGGAGTGAACACATACACAGAATGTTAATGAACTGTGACAGTGGTACCCACAAGGGAAGTGAACTGCATTCTGTGATGGAGAACGGTAGTGGGGCAGCTTTGAGCAAGTTGCTCCCTGCGACTGCTCTGAAGAAGCAGTACAGCCCCAGAGCCTGAGAGGTGAGAAGGGGCCACCCGGGAGCAGAGCAGGGGGAGGGGTGTTGCAGGCACTGGGAACCTCAAGTGCATAGGCCATAAGGCTGAAGATTGCCTTGTGTGCTCCTGAACCTACCCAAAGTCCAGTGAGTGTGAGGGTGGATGCACGGCAAAGGGTGACATAAGGAAAGACCAGAAGGACCATGAAAGTCTCTTCAGGACACAGTAAGAAATTTGACGTCACTACACTTCTAAGAAACTAATACAGAAATACTATTTTCCTCTTGAGGGGCTTCTAAGCACCTTTCTGGTGCCCTCTTGCTCATCCATTAAGAGCTTTTCTGAAGCAAGGAAGTAGGGAGCAAAGATACAGGTCGGAGGGTGGAGGGAAACTATTCCTTACCTCTTCTTCTTCAAGTAGAATGAGCCGAACCACAACAATGTGAATTGCATTGCCAATGCTTGGGTTATGGAACAACCCAGTGACCTAGAGTCAGAAACAGAAAATCATTAGCCCATATAAACTGACAATAGATAAATATCAGACCAGGGGCAGGGGAACAGCATTGTGATGCGCTTAAACAAATGCAATCTTGTAGGTCGAGAAGTTTTGCTGGAGTGCAAAGAAGAGCTGGTAGCCTCTGGCCCAATCCAAGGGTGATTGGATTAGTGATCGGCCATGTGCCTGAGGGATTGCTGCCTTTCTACTCTCTGACCCTTTCCCTGACCCAGGGTCTTCTTTCTTTTATTATCAGTGACTCAGGCAAACATCCTTCCCCAGCGAGACAGGACTAACCATCTCTGGGAAGGCAGAACACAGCAACTGTGCAAAAGGGAAGCTTGAAATTCAGGGTCATTAACTCTACTCCAATTCTGGCTTTGACTACCTTGAGGAAATCATGTTCTAGTTCTTTGTGAAGTGACTCGGTTTACTCATTTATGCACTAACGTAAAACAGTGAAATAAAGTCCCACTGAAAGGACTGAGTCACTGGGTGGATACCTAGGAGAAAATGTAACTGATAAACAACAAATGTTCCTAGGACACACATTTTTCAGAGAAAGATTAATATGTTCTGAATTTCCATCCGCAGTTACTTAGGGAAGAGATTCACATACCTGTGTTAAAAGAATAATAAGGAAAAAACAGTCTCTTATTTTTGTAGTGTGGAGCGTGTCCACCAGCTGCCCCTCCCCCCACAGAGTCCAACATACCATGTTCATGATGGTGAGGATATAGGACTCCACATTCTCGCTGCCATGGTACTCAACCATCTTCGTGTCCGCCACCACCAGCGTCTCCACCCATCTCTCTCGGCTGATGGAACGCCGGGAGAGGCTCCGGCCGGGCGCAGTGTTCCTCTCCCACCTTTCTCGCTGCAGAGCCAGCTTCCGGGGGCTGCCAAGGCTGTCTGCACACCCAACACAAGGCAGTGAGTTAATTCTCTCTCTCAACTACTGCTCACTTTACGATTTGTGATTAATAATGTGTGAATGCAACATCCTTATACACATGACTGAAATGGAAGAATGAGCAACTTCAATGACTATGACCAAGACAACTGAAATTTGAAACATACAGGGAGGTTCAAACACGCTTTTTGAAATAATCATTACCTATTTCATTAACTAGGTCCCTCACTATAAACAAGATAATACCGTCAAGATTGGGAGCGTTCTCTTTCTTCTCCTTTCCCTCCTTTAAATTATTCACTGCCCACTGTGTGCAAGGCAATGTATCAGCTTTAAGGTGCCAAGTTGATATCCCTGTGACTGTTTGAGGAACATACAGCTATGCCATTTTGCAAAGGGAGAAAATGATGCTCACTCACACTAGCTGGTTACTTAAGGTCAGTGTAAGATGCGGGATTTTCTAGGCCCTCAAAATCACGTGTTTTCATCTCCTACACCACACCGTCTCCCACAGATTAAACACACACAAAACTGGACAACATGTGAGCTGGAAAAGGTGCGTGTGGTTCGGGTCATCCTCCTTCACAAAGGTACAAAAACATCTGGGAGATCCAGGGCAGGACCGGGAAACACCCAAGGTGACCAGTAGATTTCAGGACAAATGAGATTTAATGAATGAGGATGGTAGTTTAGAAGGCAAGACCTAGGAGAGGCTATAGAATCATGAAAAAAAAAAGAATCATTCTCAAAATCTCAGAATACTACAACTAGCGAGCACCTCCTTGAAACTTGAAAGAGATCTGTTTAAAACCCAACAGAATAAAGTGCTACTTCAACCGCCAGGAAGCCCAGCTCAAGTGGTGATCACTCTCAGAGGTTTCTGCATGCTCAGCACGGCTCAGCACGGCTCAGCACAGCGGTGCTCGCCCGGTGAGCTGCAAGCGCTTTGCAAAGGTGCAGCACCTGACTGTCCAGTCAGGGGCACAGACCTCCTTTCCCTTCGATTGTCAGACAACAATAAAAAAACACGATGATAGCGAACACAATAAGAGCCATCAGTGTGAATGAAGCAAAATCACACCTATTTTTTTTCTCAGATCGGCAAGAAATATGTATTTTGGTGTGCCACAGAGATTTAGTTAACTGTGTGTGCCAGGAGATGAACCAGGGTGGAATTCACTGCCTTAGATGAATGTTTAGGGAATTATTCTGAGTGAAAAAAGCCAGTCCCAAAAGGTTGCACATTGTGTGATTCCATTTCTAGAACTCTTTGAAAGGAAAAAAATTTTAGAAGATTAGTAGTTGCCAGAGGTCCGGTATAAGGAATGGGGAGTGTGGGAGGGAAGGAGGGAGGTGGGTGTGGTCACAAAGGAGCAGCATTAGGGTCCTTGTGGGCGAGGGACTATTCAGTGTCCTGTGTCGGTGGGTAGGTGAAACTACTCGTGGGATTAGCAGAACTACACCTGTGTAGAAACTACATGTGTGCAATTAGTAGAAGTAATCACACAGACACATACACGTGAGCATAGCTAAAACTGGGGAAACCTGAATAAGATGAGGGAATTTCTCCAAGTTCTGCTTCCCAACAGCCTACCTACCTTAGAGCCCTCATCCCCCTATTCCAAAATCTGTTCTGTCTTCCTTCCTTGCGAGCTGGGCCTGTGGCTGCCTGGCTACTCTGCTGATTGAGTGGAACCCATGGAGCTCCATCCACACCCATTATGAACCATACAGAGCACTGCTCACTCCTTTCTTTCAAGTTCCCCCGAGGCCCACAAGGAAACTGCCTCTGCAACCACCCACCATCACAGCACAGCCCCTAGGAGGCCCAGAATCAGTAGGAAGCTGTCCAAACGTGAACATCTAGAGTTACTGAGAAGGTCTCTGCATGTTTTATATGATCAAAAGTTACATTAAAATTAAAATGCTCATTCAGGCCAGAGCAAAGTTGCTTTGGGTGGGAGCAAACGCATAGCCTCGACCTTCCGAATAACCAGACTCAGGGTTGGCAATCAGGACAGCGATTAATCACCCAGTTCCTTTGCCAACAGGAAACTTAACTTGTGGGGATAAAATTTAAAGATATAAACCACATTCCCACCAGCATAGTACCTTTCCCATAATCTGCCTTAAGCCATTTGAGATAAAAATGGAATATCACCGGCAGCCACAAAACCCGACCATCCCTGTCATTTTCCTTTTTCAAGTTTCCTGTTAATGTCAACTTAACAGAGAGTGACAACCGTCAACAGCAACCTCTGGAGGATGCCTGTAGTGCACGCACTGGGCCAAATGGATTTCCTGGGTACTCACAGAAGGCTAAAGGCGGACAGGTTTAAATCTCCCTTAGCCCAACCCACAGAAAAACTGTTATTAACACAACACTAACTGGCTGTGTCCACAGAACCTTAACAAGCACAAAGTTCAGTCTGATTCAGGACTGGGACCGCATTCTCCCCTTGGACACTGTTACAAAGGAGAGGAACTGGTCAAATGAGGAAGGCATTGATATCACTAGTCAGTTAGGTGTCCAACCTCTCGGCATCTCTGGGCCACACTGGAGGAGGAAGAACTGTCTTGGGCTGCATGTAAATACACGAACACTAACGAAAACTGATGAGCAAAAATAAGGTTTTAAGTAAATTTATGGTTTTGTGTTGGTCGCATTCATAGCCACCCTGGGCTACATGTGGCCTGTGGGCTGTGGGCTGGATACCTGTAGAGTGACATCCAGCATTTGCTCTGGAATCAGCCCAGCTTCACTAAGGACTAAGGGGATTCTTTTTTTTTTTTTTTTTTTTGCTACAGTGTCACGGGGCATTAACAGTGATGATGAGTTTGAAGACTGACGCATGCTTTCTCGATCATGAAGGAAATCCTGTGACCATCTGAGCTCTCCTATGGAACACTGTCCATCACCTTCTGTGTTTTTAAACACCGAGGAAGCATGGTGGCGCAGGTCAAAGTGGAAGTCACGCAGAAGGTGGAATTTCCCTGAACCTTCATCTGCTCGTAGTTCTGGATGATGGAGAGTCTACTGTACAATGAGCTTCAAGTGAACCAGCTCAACAGAGGCAAATGCAGGGCTGACCGTGCAAGGACCCTCCTGGGGTCCCCTTGGACCTGGAAAACTTGGCTCAGCAGAACCAATGAGCTGGAATCTACAGTTGCTCGGTGATGTTGGCAGGTGATTTATGTTTTCCTTTTATAAACATGGGCTATGTCTAGCACAGAACCTGGTACCTAATCAATACTAAATTAATGGTAACACCTCCTTCCCTGAAGTCCATATCCTCCTCTTGAAACCACCCCAATTTGTCTTTTCTGCTGCCTACCTGATTCTCTGGCCCTTCTCCTTCCTCCTGTACTCGCTCTCTCTACACCGTCTCCATTGGCCTCGCTCTGATTTCTTGAACGTGCCCTGCTCTTTGCCACCGCAGGGCCTGTGCTGCCTGGAAGGCTCTCCCTGCCCCCCTCGTCTCACCGACTGCTAGTCTTCCTTCAGATCTCAGCTCAAATGCTCTCCCCTCCCCTCTAACTGGGATAAATACCCCACGAGCATGTTCCCATCCCAGTCTGTATGCCCCTTTGGAGCACTTATCACACTTAGAAATTTTACATTTGCACGTTTTTCCGTAAATGTCAATCTCTACCACTAGACTGTAGTACTTTGAAGGCAGGGACCACAATGGAAGGCAGAGACTGCATCTGTTTTTTATATTCTTCACTTTTCATTTTGAAATAACTTCAGATATATAAAATACCTGCAAAACTAGTAAAAAGCTACCATGAACCTTCCCCTAGCCTCCCCATGTGTTGCCACCTTACCTAATCACAACACAACTGTCCAGGCCAGAAAATTGACACTGATACACAAAACTGTTACCAAACAAGTGAGGCGCAAAGCAATAAAATTAATTAGAGGTTGCAATATGCACTATGAAAGGCACAAAGAGGCTGCTGAGACAGGCAGGGTGTGGCAGGAGAAGGTATTTTAGCAGGGTGATCAGGAAGAACCACTCCGAGGGAGTGACATGTATGCTGGGACTTAGATGATGGGAAACGTGCAGACACATTCCAGACAGTGAAAAGAGCAAGTATGAAATTCCTATAACAGGAACCAGCTTAGGGGCCCCGGGAACTAGCAGAGAGATTGTTGGGACATGGTGAACATGGGGCAAATGGCACAAGAGACAACCCTGAACAGATAGGGCCAGGTATGTAGCCTGGAGAGATGGCCACCAGGGAAGTGCATTAGAAATGATGTGATCACCTTGGCCTCTCCTCTCCTGCACTGAAGATTCCAATGAAGATGTTCACTCTCACGACTTTCAAATGCCCTGTTCTTCCCCTAGGCCTCCTCAAATTCTGCCAAGGCCCAAACAATGCTCTTTACCTACCCCGGGTTCCAGTACAGAACCCTTGGTACGTAGTTGTCATGCCTCCGCAGTGCCCTCAAATCTGGTGCAGGCCTCCGTCTGTCTTTCATAGCCACGGCACTTTTGAAGAGGCCTGGCCGGTTACTTTGTACAATAATAACCCTCCATTGGGGCTTGTCCACTTTCTTCAGGGTTAAACCAGATTACGCACTTTGGGCAAAAATAGCAAAGACATGAAATTATGCCCTTTTCCATGCATCACATCCAGGGGTGTATGGTATCCATGTTTCTCATGACTGACAAAGCTGACTTTCGTCACTTGATTAGGGTGGTTTCTCAACTGTGAAGTTACCATTTTTCCTTTGGCAATTAATAACTATTTTGTGAGGAGACACTTTGAAATTATGAAGATACCTTCTCATCATACTTTCACCCACTAATGTCAGCAAACACTGGTGATTCTTGCCAGCAACAATTAGTGCTCTGACAAAGAATGATTTTCTCTTTCCATCATTCCATCTACACTTACGAGTTAGAATTTTACTGTAAGCAAAAGCCTGTCTCTCGCCACCTTTTTTAAAAATTCTATTTATAACAGTTTGGACTTACGAGTACTTATT